CCAGACCGTTCTCCGAGGGAGTCGGATCCGTCCCACAGCCATTAGTGATCGCCGTCACCTGAGACGCATTCCCGGTGTGTTTCGTCTCCTCTGAGGCGACACCCCGGGGGGCCGGCACGGACGGCTCCGGGGTAGGTGCCGTGCTGCTGCTGTTGCTGGACTCAGCAGCGACTCCAGCGCCGTCGCCGGTCCCGCTGCCGTCCCCAGGCAGGGTCTGATCCTTCTCCGCGCTGTGGCTGATGCCGTTCGCGGGCAGGGTATGATCCTTCTCCGCGCTGCGCCTGGTGCCGCCCCCGGGCAGGGTCTGGTCCTTCTGCGGGCTGTGCCCGATGGTGTCCCTGGGCAGCGTCTGATCGTTCTCCGGGCTGTGTATGGTGCCGTTCCCAGGTAGCGTCTGATCCCTCTCCGCGCTGTACTTCACGCAGTCCCCGTTGGTGCTGGCGCTGTGGTTTCGTTCCTTCGCCAGGCTGGTAGTGCTGCCGGTCTTGCTCATGCTGCCGCCCCTGCCGACTAGGCTGACCTGCGAGGGCGGCGTGACGCGTATGGTGGGCACGCGGCGCAGCACGGCCTGGCCGCAGCAGCGCGCGTTGGCGCAGCTGTCCACCGAGCAGGGCAGCAGGCAGCGCGACTTGGTGCAGCCGCCGGCGGTGCCGCTGAACTCGGGCTGCAGCGTGACGCGGCCGACGGCGTGCGCCGCGAAGAAGGCCGTCACCCGCTCGGCCACGTCGTTGAACTGCTGCGGCCCGGCGAGCACCACGTGCGCGGTGGCCACCACGCAGTCGGGCGTCAGCTGCCACACATGCAGCTCGTGCACGTCCTGCACGGCCGGGAACGCTGCCAGCAGCCGCGTGCGGAACGCCGCCACGTCGAACGTGGCCGGCATGGTCTGCAGCAGGATCAGGCAGCACTCGCTGAACAGACTGCGGCTGGTGGAGACCAGCACGGCCACGGACAGCAGCGCCAGCGCCGGGTCCAGGTAGCGCACCGCCGGCGCGCGGCTCATGTGCGCCGTGGTCGCCGAGATGACCAGCAGCACCGCGCCGGACAGGTCGCGGGCAAAGTGGTGCGCCAGCGGAGCCGCCGGCGTGCGCTTCACGAGCCGCGAGTCGGGTCTGAGCTGCGCCTCGGAGGCGGCCGGAGAGAGCCGCTTGGCCGCCTCGCTGGGCGCCAGCAGAGTGCTCTGGAGGCACGTGTAGCCGCCGATGAGTATGTAGCAGACGAGGTTGGCCAGCAGGATGGCGGCCGCGCAGGCCATCACATACACCGGGTGGTGCATGTCGTCCGAGTGCGCCGCGTTCGCCAGCGACTGGATGGCCTCCACCGAGATGGAGAAGCACAGCGCCGCCATGAACAGCAGCGTCACCACCGTGGTCAGCACCTCCAGGCGCGCCCAGCCGAACGTGCGCGTCGGCGAGCCGGCGGCCGCGTCCAGGCGCACGGACAGCAGCCAGCCGCCCAGCGTCAGCGCGTTGTACAGCATGTGGTACACCTCCAGGGTCAGCAGCAGCGAGTGCGTGGTGTTGCTCAGCACGCCGAGCGGCACCAGCAGCAGCAGGCTCAGCACCAGCATGGTCCACATGCGCGCCGAGCCGTGCCGACGCACCACCCCCACCTCCATCGCGGCGGCGCACGCCGCGGACACAGCGCGGACACGGGCGGCAGCGGCGGCGGCCCGGCGGCGACTGAGCGCAGCGCGCACGCCGATAGCGCCCGCCCGGCGACCGCGCCGACGGCGGCGTAACGTGAGGCGAGCGCCGGCCGGCGCCACGGCCTGTGACGCTGCCAAGACGTGCGCACAAGGCCGCCCGTTCCGAGCCGCCGCCAGAAGACCAGTGGTCGGACACCCCCCACTTGCCAACGGCCGAATGTACACAAACGAACTGGTCGAACTGATGGCTCCACCCGCCGGCCGCGTGACCGGCAGCGGGTCTGTGGCACCTCATCTGCGGCCGTGGCCGCGATCCAACCGATCCGCGCGCCGGACCATCCAACCCCGTCTGGACCCAGTGAAGGACGGACCACAGCTCCCCCGGACGGTTCGAGCGAAGACGTCAGCAGAGAGCTCCCCGGCACGGTCCGGGAGGTAACGCCAGGGTCGCTGGTATGGCACGCCACGTGAGAAAAGAACACGACTAGGATCACATTACCGGAGCATTGCCTCAGCTCGTCACGGAATTCGGCATCATGCGATCGAATGGAGCTCGACAGAGCCAATAGAATTCTAAGGAGATCAAATGAACCCCAGCACACCTCGGCCGTCACAGTACGGTACGTGACGTTGCGACCACACAAGAAACGGAGTGACCTGCCGCAAAGTCTTACACCGTGCTGACTTAAGTATGCATACCGTCGTTGCTGGCACAATTAAATGCAGCTCGTGTACTAAACACGGAACTGACGTATAGCTGACGTATACGGTTGCCAGAAAATGGAGGCCCTATTGACGAGAAAACGGTACACGGTGAGAAAATATACCGATAATCTACATTTCACAGGAGCCTACATAAGAATCTCAGTTATATCTCATTGCAAGTTCCCAGTTCCCACTTTTCTTATCCTCTTCCTATCAAGAAATTTCGCGTCATTGGTAAGATAAAATGCAAACTTCTAGCTTCATTAGAAAGTGGTTTAAAAAAGACCCCAGGACCAAAGTTCATCTCCAAATGATGTGCATATTCTAGGAGGAGCAAAGGCATGCCTCTCCTTGACGAAATGTTCGGCCCGGAGCTATACTGTCGACGGAAACGGGTCGTGACTGAAAGTATAGCGCGTGTCACTGTCGTGCAGATGCGCTTTCACTGTGAAATACTGACGCACGTGAAAGACACCTGCCACTTTTCCACAGAGGCGCCGCCCGGCAAACAAGAACACGAGCAGCCAGACAGGATCACCGCCGCGGTACTCAAACTCCCTCGCTGGCTTCTGACGGCCGAGTGACGGCCCCTCCCGCACCGAGACTGTGCGGCCTGACTTGGAACAAGCCCCCGCGGCGCATCGCCGACTCAGAGTCACGGCACCAGCTGATGAGCAAAGCCGCAGAATCGTGTGATGACAGGTTCTAACTTTTTCTTCGTATACTAATCCATAATATTTACATGTTTTATGGCGCAGTCTGCTAAAGCCGAGTGCGTGCGTATTTCGCACATGTGTTTTTACAAACTTGACCCGAAGATGGTGGATATATCCTACTCAGGTTATAGTTCATCCTGAGCGTCTCTCTTTCCTCTCAAATTCACCTTCTTCTCCAGCCTTTCATGACTACAAAATACACGGTATCGCAAGACAAAGCGAATGATGTGCAAACACTTCCATGCCAAAGGCACACATTTCGTGCGATTTTCCAGATCGCGGTCAGTAAACACATCAATGCTGTGTTTGCAGACAATCACCTAAGGTACTGTGACCGGCGCTACAGCAGTATATTTGAGCGTTTGACCGGCCGGTGAACAATATCACCTGGTGACCCACCTGGCTCCAGGCCAGACACAAGCAAACCAACGAAAAAACACCACCCGGCAACGCGCACAAAAATAGTTCCCCGCCCCATGGAGACGGACAAAAAAGTCGCACTCGGTTCTGGGGACGTGCGACCTGTATACATCGCACCTGTGGCCATTGGTTCCTCCCCAACGGACGACATACGAGAATGTAATTGTCGCTACCACAAAGCAGCACCGGGCGCAAGTGTCAGCTGCAGGCCCACATATTATCAATGGACAAGACTGAGTCCGATTAACTACCTATGGCCGTGCTAGGGAATGGTGAGGTTTACGCCAATAACTTCTTATATCACACAACCATCATTCATCTTCCCACAAAAGTGTGAAAAACTTATAATCTTAAATAATTGTTTCTAAATTTTCATAATTGAACTGATTGACAAGGGTAGGTTCCAGAATGCACTCAAGGTGCATTTTGGAACCAGTTTCCCATAGGTCAAAAGGACTTCATGTTTTCTAACCTCTTATAAAATGCCAGATATTGAGTTCAAATTTCCCACTTTCCATTGGTGTTCTTTTGTGTCTTCGGGAAAAGTAAGCAACGGCTTATATCGTCATGGCCTATGAAAAGTAAAATCACAAAAAAAATCAATGATTTCTGGCATGTAACCGATGGATTTTGTAAGATGTGATACCCATGTAAAGGTATACCCAATCACCAACTTACTGTTTATACTTTATAGGTACCTACCATAGTGAAAGTCTGAAACAGATGAATGAGGGTAGACACTTAAGGCCCAAAGTGGTCTTAAATACTGAAATCGATTAGGCAATGCTGTTCACCAAAGAGGGCCGGAACAAAAGCGGTCAACGAACGGCCCCCACCTGGACCCCTCCCCTCCCCACTAGTGGTGTCAATCGTTCGGAATTCCGATTTTGTCCAATGTCCAATTCGGAATTCGGTTGGACAATGACGGCAGGCGTTAGACAACTTTGGACAATCACTTGCTACACCTCAGCATTTTTATAAAGCAATCGTGTTTAACACTGATTGGCGAATAGAAAGCTCAGCTTTTGAGATGATGAACACATTAAAGCTGGTAATAGTACATTTAAAACAAATTAAATAACAGTGTTGAGTGTAAACTATTGCGTAGGTTTCGGACATCTTTGGACAAATGGCTGGCTTGGACATTTTTGGACGGACAATCGACGTAAGCATTGGAAATTGGACGGACATTGGACATACATTTTCTGAAACTGACACCACTACTCCCTACAGGTCAAGGCTGGCTGGCCAACCCCAGCGGCAGAGGCGCACTCAGAGAACGGCAGTGGAGCCAGCCCGGCGGCAGGGGTCAGGTCAGGGCCGTGTGACCCCAGCGGCAAGGGCGCAGTCAGGGGGATGGACAGCAGGAGGCCCACGCGGCGTGGGGAGGTCAGGGCCGGCCGATCGCGGCGGCAAGGGCGCGCTCAGGGACCCGCGGTGTGCCCTGCCCGACGGTCGGCGCGCCTGGCGCAGCGGCCCCGGCCGGCGACAGGCGCCCGTTCCGATCCCGGCGCCAGTTGTGGACAGAACTGACGGCCGAGTGGAGGTGCCATGCTGCCGCGCCGCCGCTCCGCCCCGGCCAGCTCGGCCGCCGGCTCCACCCCGGCACCCGCCGGCGAGGGCGAAAAGTAAGTCACTGGCGGGCGCCGGCCCGTCTGACAGCCCCACCCCCTCTCCCGCCGCCCCCATACTGATACCAACTGGCGCGCGCCTCTGCTACGGTTGCTGTTGTTTCTGCACGCGGTGTTGATGGGTGTTTGATAGCGGCGGACGGACGACTGCGGTGCCTGTTGACGCGACCGAGCCAAGGTCGTGACCTGCGCCTGGCTCACAGACACTAATGCCGTGACGAGTTGCGCGCCGGCAGACGGACGGGCGGGCGCGACACGCAGGACACCGGCGGGCTGCGGAGAGCTGAACAAACTGGCTGCACGGCCCCGGAGCGCACGCGACACCTTCCGCTGACGCTATACCTAGCTCAACATACCTCTCTCCTCTTTACGTAACAAGTAGGTCTATATGGAAACCAAGTGTACCGGAATGTCCTGCACTGTTCGTAATAGGTACTAGCAATACAGTTGTTATTGGTAAACAATGCATTACTAAAGGCGGCAAGAGATAGTATGTGCCTATGCTTAGCGGGTTCAAGCGGCGACACGAGTTCAAGTTCACGCCCCGTAACCAGGGCTGGAAGTCTCCCTTTCGGCCCGGCAGCACTGGCCCTCTTCGAAACTCTGCGAAGCGCACCCAATGAAACTCAACGAACACTGAATAGAACGGGCAAGTGGCTATTGACTTCAGATTTTTTAGAGCCATCTCTATTTAAAGTTGCAGCAATGTTATGCACCTGTATCGAGATATTTGTGCGGGTAAATCTGACATTCTGCTGGAAAGGTCAAACCGTACAATTCTTTTTAACCTCAATCACCGTTTGTATTCCCGATCAGTAATGATGGGATGCCATCTGAGCGGCACCTGTGTAGCAGACAAGGCCTCCGAATATCGCTCATTGCTGGAAGACCACATTAACAATAAGATCAAACCCAAGGACATCGTTAAAGTCCTGTTATGCTTCAGCTCACCGTGACGGGCGACGAGAGATATTTGAACATATGCTTAAACGTCGGCGGGGTTTATATTATCCGTCGCCGGCGCCGCGGACGGTGCAGGTCGGCAGCCGGCGCTCTGTGTTTACCGTCGCGTCGGACAGGGGCCGCCCGGGCGTGTGCTGGCGAACAGGACGAGCGTCCGGTGAGCGGTCCGGCGCCCCCAGAACGGACGCACGTGGCGCCCTGCGTCCCGTCACCGCAGTCGGCGCGGGCCACCTGTCACCGTCCACCAGTCGGCACCAGATCGACCGGATATGGAGGGCGTACCCCCGCCCGGTCCGACCTGACACACTGGGTCTGTGTCCGACCTGACACACTGGATCTGTGTCCACCCTGACACACTGGATCTGTGTCCACCCTGACACACTGGATCTGTGTTCACCCTGACACACTGGGTCTGTGTCCACCCTGGCACACTTGGTCTGTGTCCGACCTGACACGCTGGGTCTGTGTCCACCCTGACACAATGGGTCTGTGTCCACCCTGGCACACTTGGTCTGTGTCCACCCTGGCACGGGAGAGCCCCTCTGCCCATCTCATACACGGGGGGAGAGTGTCTCTCTGCACACCTCTGCCGCGGAGTTAGCGGGGGTAACTGAGCACACCGATGACGGGCCTGATCCAGTCCAAACAAACAAACACGAAAACAAAGGGACCAGCCCACGTGGCACGTTACTCATAACAGCAGCCATCTCATACCTAGATGCACCAGATTTCACATGCATAATATGTGATGCAAACTTAGTCAGTTTTCTGAAGAACACTTTATGCTTTCAGACCATCAAAGTGCTTGGGTACTTAGAAGGGAGGACACTTAGAAGGGATGAGGGAGGAGAAATTATGAGGAGTACAGTTTGTCAGAACAATGCAGTTTGTGTAAATGGGGCCAGGAGTGTTAGCAAACATGTGCCATTGCATTACCTACCCATCAAAATAACTGTGATTATTGATAAAACCTTTCAAACTGTACCCAAGTCGGTTTTGTGATTCCTTTATCTCTTTTGTATCTCTTTATGTATTATCTCTTTTATGACACAATAAAAGGCTTTGTGATTGTGTCATTTTAGCTCCTTACAAACACATGTAAAATCAATGTCCATTTCTTCAGACATAAATGCATGAGAGATCTGCACCAGTATAGGCTATTTGGTTCAGATAAAATCCTTAGCTGATGCATTTCATTCCTATCAACTTGGCCTGGTGGATCTTGTTGGTCAGCCAATGCTTATAGGCAGGGATGCGGAGTCGGAGTCGGAGTCGGAGTCGGAGTCGCCCGGAGTCGTGGTAGCGAGCCCGGAGTCGGAGTCGGAGTCGACCAGGCTGCCTTGACTCCGACTCCGGGAAGCTTATTAAAATTTATGGCGTTGCTTGCTGGAAATAAATTTATATCTAGAAATAAATTTTCTGGAAATAAATTTCGGAAATGTTTTGTTTCCTCAACAATAACAACTGCTAGCCTTTATATTATACTTTTATAGCCGCGTACTTTCAACTCGGGGGAGCGGCCCACCTGGAGCGCCGGGGAGGTATCCCACAGATCTCCCCGGTCGGGGAGGTATCCCCCAGCTCTCCCCGGGGTCGGGTGGTGTTTGCCGGGATTAGGGCGCCGCCCGACCTGGCCAGGTGGGCCGCACAGGGCAATTTTAAATGTTTTGTTTGTTTCTTATAAGGTGTGATGAATGTGGATGAGTGACTATGTATCAAAAAAGATTATGAAAAAAAAATGTGATCAATGATTGGACAGTGTTAATGATTGCGTCGTATTTCGCATCAGACCCGGAGTCGGAGTCGGAGTCGGAGCCGACCAGGAGCCCGGAGTCGGAGTCGGAGTCGGAAATCGCTACCACGACTCCGCATCCCTGCTTATAGGCACACTCATGCAACACCTACAATGAAATTAGACAAGCTACAGTCAGCTCTAAGTTGTACACTATAAGGCCTTACATGCACTTGTTGTGTTGTGTAGGCCCTCACATCATCATCATTTGATATAAAGACCATGGTACAGGAGCTTAGAATCCAAAGTTTAGTGTGCTTACATGACTGACAGAGCCAATCCCAGTTCCCATGTACCTACTGGACAGTGATTAGTTACCTATCTCTGAACTCTGAGCAGTGCTGGAAATGAGGCCGCTTTCTGGTCCCGGCGTTTTATTCTCCTCGCGGGTTAATCCCGTCCAGCGTTTAGCCTTTCGGGACCCACTCAGGGTCGCGGTTGTTTTCGCCGCTCGCCCCAGTCGAGATGCAAAGTTAATAGTCACACGAAGCTTATTTAGGGCCAGCCAAACCAGTATAGTCTGGAGTTACTGTTAAATGTATGCATATAGATGAAAGAAAAAGGTTTTGTAGAATCGATTAATTTCGAAGTCGTTTATTCAGAGGCCCCAAATAAACTTCGTGCGACTATCAACTTTGCATCTCGAATGGGCCGAGCGGCGAAAACAACCGCGGCTCTGAGAGGGTCCCGAAAGGCTAAGCGCTAGACGGGGCTAACTCACCCGGAGAATAAAACGCCGGGACCAGAAAGCGGCCTCATTTCCAGCACTGACTCTGAGTCTGCTCCCAACAACCACAAAACATAGGCAAACATCAGCAGTGTTCATATGTCATGTCAGGTGTCAAATCAACTCAAACCCAGCGAGCTGCTCAACTCCCACTTTTTTCAACAACTGCCATTATCGAGCCAGCATATCAGATCAGTGCATTGGCATGGAAACTACTTTATGATTCTTTTAATTGTCACTTTGGTCATATAGGCTGATTGCTTTTTGGCCTTAATTTGTTCCCCAAAAGAGACTTAGAAACTCCCATGAGAAATAATACTGATGAAAATTGCCATCATGCAAAAATGAAAATGCTGTAAGTTCTCTACAGAGTCCAGTCTGCAAAACATGGCAGGGAGCTCGACAAGATTTTCGGGGCAGACAAAATCCTGCCCCGAATCAGAATGCTGAGTCCAGGGGCAGCCCAATTCCTGCCCCTAATGATGCAAATAATGTAACGATATAATGATGTAGGAAGCAGTGAGAAGCTGAGAAAATCACTTCTGTGTCAATTTTTTAACTTCTGCACCAGATTTTCCTGTTTCTGCCCAATCTTCCTGAAACCTGCCCCTATTTCTGCCCCAACCTGTGGTGTCTGCCCCGACGAGATCTCGTCGAAGCCTGCCACGTTTTGCAGACTGGTACAGAGTGAGAGGCAGACTCCACCTGCACAGCGAATGCACTATGAAGCGGGTTTCTCCTATCCCTCAAGCCTTTTCTACACGCACTGGTGATAGTGGATGGAATCTGACAAGGCGAGTTGACCCCCTGCCGAAAAAGAGACTGATCTATCTTGATAAGACAGATGGCTTGGTTGTAGCGTCAACCCTAAAACATTAATGTCAGGTTCAGTTAATAGAATAAAATAAATGCAAAGAAAATAGCAAACTATTTTTAATTATTATACACTAGGAATGAGTGGTGGAATATCTCAGCAAGATTGATGCTTTGAACTTACCTGACTTGCTGCGATGGCTGAGTGAAAGGATCGAATCTGAAAACAACACGTTTTGCTGGCTTCAGTGAGACCGTTTTCAGTTGTTTGATAATGGCACTTATCACTCCATTTGCGAACTTTTTTGTTCCAGAGTACGGGACAGACATACTACCACCACATCAACGCAAAATGTTAAAAAACAAAATATTACTACACCATGCGCCTGCGCGCCACCCGTAACGAACGCGATTCCGTAACTGTATCAGCCGCGCAAGAAATGGCATGAAAATCAGCTGCCGTCAAAGGTGTTCTAACTTTTCAGCTGGTCGACGCTATCGATGTTTTTCTGCTCGTAAAAACGATTTTCGGCCTTTTAATATAACATAATAATGTAGTATTGCAATAGTATCCATCTTTTACGATAAAAACGTAATTTTGAGACGGCATGTAACTGATTTTTCAAAAAAATTTGCTGTCTATGATAGAAAAATAATTTCACAAGCCGTGTGAGCGTGAAAAGAACACTATCACTTCGGTGTCGTAGAAAGGCTTGCGGCTTGCGTATCATTTACCAAATAATAAAAACCGAATATCTACTGAAATCTGTGTAATGCATGGCCCCTGTGCTGATTATTTATGTTTGATCAAATACTTATATTTGCTTAGGTGCTGCTTGCTTTTTTATATATGTTATTAGCACAGATACCTGCACTTTGTCTAGCAGCTCTCAGGTTGAGGTCTCGGCCAAATATCAGTACCTACCATATCATGATAATGATATTCTTGTAGATGGTGTAACAGCTGGGCTGTATTCTGATTCTGTTTGGTAATTTACGCTAACTGACTGCCATATCCGTCCCTATGTCACTGCTGGCAACAGGTGGTGGCCTGGCGGCATCCCAGTTCGTCCACGAGGCTCCCACTACTCTGGGATGGAGTTTGCTGACTTCATCCGCACACCCAAGTGTGACCGAGTGGTGCTACACCAGCCGCTGTGCCCACCTCTGGATGGGACTCTCTGCATCACTGGACATCACTTCATCTTCTCTTCCAGACAAGAGGAGGCACAGGAGGTATGGGTAAGTTTCTAGATATATGGTCATATATAGATGGGATTGAATGCAGTTCTAGCACTGTTTCAGTCAGGTCTGTCTTGGTTCTGAACTCTCTCTGTTCAATTGGACTTACTAGTGGTAGGTATGCCAGCCCGAGTGTGTGAAGCATGGCACCAGCCTAGCAGAAAGTCAACAGTGCTGTGCACCATAAAGGACAGTGGGTTCAAGGGTTAAGAGGTACCTAGGCTCACCTAAGCAGCAAAAATGTTTCAGTTATGTTGATGACTTCTGGACATTTTTGAGAGCTGTGTTGAATGGCAATGTCTGAATATGATTGATGCCTCATTAGTTACCTGCCATTTTCCATGTACCCAGTGCCTGTTGTGAAGCAGTGTAATATGCTCAGAGTCATTTGTGATGCACTGATCGCTGATGTAACTCTCCTAGTTCCTGGTGTAGCATGACCCTACAAGTCCTTGGTGTGATGTGAATCACCAGGCTCCATATGTGACGATGCAGGTGTTCCATGACTTGTCCCATGTGTGCCATGAAATGTCTCCTATGTGCCATGAGGCATCCCTGGTGCATGGACTTGTCCCCAGTGTGCTGTGACTCTTCCCCGATTTATCGTAACGTGTCCCCCTCCTGCCATGACGCTGGTCCCCGGTCCGTCGTGACGCGTCCGGCCGGCCCGCCAGGTGCTGCACCGGATGATCGATGGTGTTGAGCGGCGTCCAAACGGCATGATGGGCGGCGCCGTGGCCGTCAAGTGCAAGGACCTGCGCGTCCTCGTGCTCGACATCTACGGAGTGGAGGAGTTCAACAACATCGCCCACACGCTGGAGACGCTGTCCAACGTCGGTGAGCTCAGTAGCTACGGGGTAGCTAAGCAACTGGCGACGTCTGCTTCGATTTTGATGTCTTATGGTCTTATCTATCAGTTTATGTTGCTCCCTATCTCATCGCCGCGTTTTTACACTGGTAGCTTAAGATTATGTAGTGCATGTTTTTCATTTGTTTGTTATGCATAATGTAAGCCTTACGATCATCTTATTTTCGTACCAGTTTGACTCCATTGAGCTTTTTTTATTTATTCGGATTCGAAACCGTCGTTGTTACGCAATGTGGAACAAACTCTAGTTATCGCAAAAAAAGAGAAATCAAGCATCCCGCCTGAACAGCAGCATATTAACCCGCGCGGGGCTGGGGTCTCCAGCCGAACGCGCGGGGCTGGGGGGGGGGGGTAAATTTACCCCCCCCCCCTGTTATCTCCCGAACTAATGGTCCGATTTGGAAAATTCGAACGCCAATCGAAAGATCTCATCACGAACAACTAAAAACATGTACTTAATTTAAAGTTTGAGGTCAAGGTCAAGGTCAGGTCAAGGGTACAAATTGCAAGTTTCTACAGTATCGGCCTTGCACCGTAGTTGCCGAAGAATGGAGTCATGGACTGAGACTGATTGCCCAAAACGTGTTCTTAGGCTACCAAGACAATATTCGTTGCATACAATATCATTCAGAGGTCAAGGTCAAGGTCAGGTCAGGTCAGGTCAGGTCACCAAAAACAAAATATAGAAAAGGGCATGTGCGACACATGTTTTATGGGTCATTTTACTCATGGAATTCAATAGGCACACTCAATAAGTGATATGGACCACCTCTGGATAATTTCAGGTCGAGGTCAGGTCAAGGTCAGGTCAAGTGAGGTCAAATTTTGAAGTTGGTTGTTAAGGCCTAAAAAGGTGTCTATCTGATGCAGTTTTTCACGGCGAATCGAATGGTGCTATTTTTGTTTCTGTACGAGGTCTAGAACTTCTAAAAAATCATTTTTCAAATTTTTTGTGTGTCGTGACGTCATAAAATTTTGAATAACTCCCACATTTTTAAACCAATTCTTCTAAAAATTGGTATGTAGGTGCACATAGACCAGTTCTCTGACATATATTCCGGTTTTTTCGATACACTCAAAATTTTGGATTTTATAACTATTTTCCCAAAAAAGTTAGTTTTTTGAAAAAAAAAATTTGGGCCAAAATCCAAAATTTTCAAAAAACCGAGATAGCCATTTGATAGACAAAGTAGAAAGACGTATAACCTTTTTTGTTACGTCTTGATTCCTTTAAAAATGAAGATGTTAGCAGCGTTTGAAATTTTGCCGTTTTTGAGGCGAAAATGGCGAACATGACGTCACTAAAACGTCAATTTCTCAAAAATTTCCGACGGATTTCGCTCAAATTTTCAGGGAACGTGTCAAATTGATGTCAGAAAAGGTACTGAAAGTTTGGCGGCGCTGCGCGCCGCCGTTTTTGAGATATAGCCAAAATTCGCGAGGGGGGGTAAAATTTACCCCCCCCCCCCCCAGCCCCGCGCGGGTTAATGCTAAGAGTAGCATTCTGTACGTCATCGACTGAATCGCTCCACGTCTCCACACTCCCGACAGACGACATTCGGCTGGCGTACCCGTTCTTTTTCCGCTCAAATCTGGGCGGGGAGGACGACTGGTCCGAGTTTTCCACCGAGCACGAGTTCTCCAAGCTGATTCTGAGCAGCGACGAGTGGCGCATCAGCCACCTCAACAGCGACTTCAAGGTGAGGCCATCCGCTCAGTCGGCCCTTCCAGCTCTCGCTTCCTGTTCGACCAGAGTCGCCAGCATGTGTGCGAGGCATGGAACGTTGGACAATAGCATACTGTTTTTAATGCTCAGAACTCAAAAGTAATGCTATTCTGTGTCAGTATCTAGCCGTAGTCCCCGCCAGTGACCAGTATCTTTGGTCCCTTGTCTATTCGCCAATGTTGTGTTATTGATCGCTGATCTGCTAACAGGATGCCGCCCGTTGAAGACCCTAGTGCTGCTCTCCGTCCACCCGGTCTGACGCCTTTCCCCGTCACTATCTTCGTCGCTAGGTGTGCGAGAGCTACCCGCGCAGTGTGGTGGTGCCCAGCTCCGTCACTGACGAGGAGCTGATCCGTGTGGCGCTGTTCCGACACGGTGGACGCTTCCCCGTGCTCAGCTACCGACACGACAAGGGCGTACGTAACCCGCACGGTCGCCCTCCCCGCACCAACTGTAATCGGGGGGTAGGGAATTGTGATGGATGACATATCGGCATAGTGGCCGTGGTAACGACGGTAGGGACGGTTTAGTTCTTGACTCTATCTTGATCAATACCATTTCCTTGAAATAGTTCAGTCACGTTGTCGTTTCGTTTCGCGTGTCAGTCTGTGGCTATCCAGTTAGATGTTCCACATAAGCAGGTGTATCGGGGGTTTATTATCTGCCCAGTAGCCTTGTCCCATTGTCCCGTGTACGCCGTGTCTAACCCCACTCGCCACTGTCCCGCAGTCGATCCTGCTGCGCAGCTCCCAGCCAATGACGGGAAACCAGCGCCGCTGCCGAGAGGACGAGAAACTCATCAACGCGGCGCTCGGCTCCAGTGGACAGAAGGGCTACATCATCGACACCAGGACGCAGAACCTGGCCATGTCAGCCAAGGTAGGTAATGATACCAGACAAGCGCACAGAAAACCTGGCCATGTCAGCCAACTGGTAGATATTAATACCAGACACAGATCGGATACAGATCGTCCTGGCCATGTCAGCCAAGGCAGATTGATCGGTGCCTTATACTGACTCACATCTCTTTTTCGCACGTGCTTCTCTCCTTTCTTTTTTTAAACATATTTGACTGGCGTGTGGCCCTGACTCCCCCCCCCCCCCCCCCCCCTGTAGAACCGCGGCGGTAGGTACGAGCCGGAGAGCCACTACCCCCTCTGACTGCCCCCCCCCCCCGGCAGAACCGCGGCGGCGGGTACGAGCCGGAGAGTCACTACCCGCAGTGGCGGCGCGTGCACAACAAGCCGATCGACCGTCAGGCGGCGCAGCTGGACTCTCTGCAGCGCCTGGTGGACGGTCTGAGCGACACTGCCCAGGGCATGGACCGCTGGCTGGGCAGGCTCGTCTCCTCCAACTGGATGTCGCACGTCAAGGACACGCTCAACTGTGCCTGCTTGGTGGCCCAGTGTCTTGACCAGGTGAGTGGCAATGGAGCGAGACTGGGTAGGGAGCAGATACGGGAGGCTGGGCCACTGTTCAGAGCTTCAGACTCTAGTCGCGCGGCGGAAAGTCGTGGACTTCTAGTGATGATGAGGTTTATCTGATGACCGTCCTGTATAGTGTGTCGATCAGACTTCGGATGACCTCTGTCGCGGTGTTTGTTTGCCAGGAGGTCACCTCGGTGCTGGTGCACGGGGCGGACGGTATGGACTCGACACTGCAAGTCAGCTCTCTGGCCCAGCTGATCCTGAACCCGGACTGCCGTACCATCCGAGGGTAGGTCAGGTCAGGTCAGGGGACTCGCACCATCCGAGGGTAGGTGAGGGAACGGGACGGTACCGTGATCACTCGGGTAGGGGCATGTCCAGTGCACCAGAGACAGTGCGAATGGTGCGAAAATCAGATAGTCCGCCGAACGCACTAGGAGCAATATTGGATACGGGCGCTATGGATACTTGCCAGTTGCGCATAGAAAGAAACCTCCGTTACCGATGAGTTTCAATGTGACGACCTGATCAGGGCTCGATTATTGGTTCAGGCTCTTTTATTATAGCAAAGCGGCACTGACTTGACCTTACCTGACCTGACACCCCCCCCCCCTTCCGACAGGTTCCAGGCGCTGGTGGAGCGCGAGTGGCTGCAGGCCGGCCACCCGTTCACCTCGCGCCACCGTCACTCGGTGTTTGCGCCGGCCGCCAGCCGCGACCGGTACCAGGGCGTGGCGCCCTCGTTCCTGCTCTTCCTCGACTGCGTCTGGCAGGTGACCAACCAGTTCGTCACTTCGTTCCAATTCAACGACGCCTTTCTGCTCGACCTGTTCCAGCACTCGTACGCCTCGCAGTACGGTGAGTGATCCCCCCCCCCCCCCAGTGAGTGCCCCTAACTCAGACGCGCCTCAGAGTTAGGTCACTCAGACGCTCAGTGATTTTGCTGGCCACTGTTTTGTTGATGTGGTCTTCTAGCCGATTGATTTGACAGTTTGTTGTCCACTGAAACCCCGGCCGTGGGTTGACTCCGTGCGAGCACTTACCCGAAGAGTGGATCGCAGATGGGGCAATGTCTTTTCCATGTCATGCTGCACCGCCTGTTGACGGACCTGTGACCCTTTCCCCGCCCCGCCGACAGGCACTTTCCTGGGCGACAACGTATGTGAGCGCGAGCAGGTGCAGCTGCGCGAGCGCACGTGCAGTCTGTGGTCGCACATGAACAGCGTGGAGGTGCTGCCGCGCTACCTGAACCCGCTCTACGAGCCCAACAAGCGGGTCATCTGGCCGAGCGTGGCGCCCATGAGTCTGACGCTGTGGCCGGGCCTCTACCTGCGCTGGACGGTCGACCTCAGCGCGCAGCGCGCCGCACTAGCCAGGTGAGGGTGAGGATGACGGCCGAGGGCGAGATACTCAGATACTGATGTACCGGAGTGGGCCTGTCATGGATGAGGTGACGGAACAGAGGCCGCTTTTGTAAGTCGCTGGTCGTATTGACAAAGGCAGACAACTCCACATGGGCGTGGCTATTCTGTGTCTCTAGTCACAGAGAGTTAAAAAGAAAACATACATCAGGGTAAAATGGGAATAAAATTTACCGTCAGAAATCACACACCCACGCACACAGTCATGGTCATGTTTAGGAACGCTCCCACCCAGATGGCGTCCTGTGTCGGGTAGTGGTAATCGCATCTGAGCCATTCGACAGCCAGCCCTGTTCGATGAAGCGACAGGGACGCTGTCAGCGGCTCATTACTGGCCCCGGCCCCGGCCCCCTGTACTGACTATCGGCCTCTCTCCCCGGTCCGCCAGGGCGCACGAGATTCACGCGGAGCACGGTCAGCTGCGCGCCAAGGCGTCCAAGCTGCGGCGCCGGCTGCAGGAGCTGCAGCAGGAGGCCGTGCGCCGGGACCTGCTGCAGCTGGCGGTCACACCGGACGCCAACTGAGCGCAGGCGGTCAGCGGTCGGTCAGGAACTGTCAGCGGTCGGTCCGGGACGGCGGGGCTCGGCTGGGACCCACCTGTCCGGCCTGTGGATGAGACGGGGTGATCTCCCGGGAGAGCGGAGCGCGTCCGACGGGCGGCTTCCGTTGGGGGGGGGGGGGGCTGGGGTAGAAGACTGCAGGCGGCGCTGATTGTGAGGAATGCGGATGGCGCCGCCGACGGACCGTCTGTATACTTGGTCTGTTGATGGACCTTCCGTGGACCATCACACGACCATCGTTGGACCAAATGCGGTCCCGGTCTGTTGGTGGACCAGCGTTGAACCATCTGAACCATCGTTGGACCACCATCAGGCTTGGTCTGTTGGTTGACCATTTGTGAACCGTCGTTGGACCACGTTGGACCGTCGGTGGACCACCATTAGCCCTTGTCGGTCGACGGACAACCGTCGATTCACTGTAAGAAGGTGGTTGTTGTCCTCCGTCAGATGTACCCGCTTGTGTTTGAGTTTAGACTGACGTCTGACGGGTGTGAACCGCAGCCAGTCGCGGTCAGGACCGAGCACACAGGCCCCTGGTCCAGAAGATGGATCCACAGGTCTCCAAGTCCCAGTGAGGGTCGGACCCCAGGTCTCCAGGTCCCGGTGTGTGCCGGACCCACAGGTCTCGGGTGCCGCGCACGCTCTGCGCGCGGTCCCGAGACCGGGGTGCGTCCGGCCACTCCCACCTGTGGTGAGGGGTCTGACAGCGAGTCTAGCCCTCTGCGAGCCCGAACAGCCAGCCCCGCCCTCCGCCCGGCATTGCTAGGCACATCGGTGGTCGCTTATTATCGTTAATCGTTGCATTGTCTGTGGTATCGCGCTTGTCGGCTGTTATTTATGAAGCTGATCGATGTTATATGTATCGTTCGCCATGGTATCCCGATGTGACGGTGTGTGTGCAATGGATGGTCTCGTTTTACGTTTTTCAGACTTCCTGCGATACGCGGCTGCTGCTGTCTTTATGCACTGTTTCTGAGAGAGCTGATGGGATATGATGTGGACGGGGGGACCACTTCCTATGTCAGGTTGATGTCGGGATGTCTTTTGCAAGTTATTCCAGAGTTTGATGAGCACCTCACAATCGTTAAAACCTTCAAATCTCAACACAACTGCACATTTGAACACACGCACAGGCGCACAAATGACAACAGACGCCCGCATACTCGGTCTCGCATTTACTCAAACACGCCCAACACGCATAGGGATGCACATCTGGAGCAAGCATCACTTTTCTCCGGCTTTATTCAATTTTGCCTCGATCCGACCATCTTCATTCACCCCCAGTGTTAGAGGGACAGTGCTGTGATGTTTTCCACTGCTGTTTGATGTTCCCTGTGGCTTTATCTAGCCGCCGATAGTATTGGACAACCTTTTCAGACATCTTCCCGATCCCAGACACCGTCTCGGTGATTTTCCATAGTAGTTGCCAGGTTGGGACCGAGGCTTTGTTCACAGTTGCACTGTGGACTGATCAGCTCTCTCAGGCATGTTATCGGCACGGTGCGTCATATTATATTGCAATGATATAGGCGCGGTAAGACAGAGAGAGTCCCTGTGTTTGTGCCGTGTCATGTTGAAGCCGGCGGTCGGTGCGTGCGGACCGGAGTGCGATCTGAGCTGGTCTGTCCTGTCGCGAGTCTGCAGTATTTATCAGGGTGGAGAGGCTCTCTGTGCGTCATGTACCCTGTATACCCACTCTCCGTCTGCTCGCACTCGTCTGTTTTCTGAGCGGCCCGGGAGTGGGGTGCTGAGTGCCGGTCTCACCACTGACAACGGACCATTGTGTGGTGGTCTGTCAGATGCAGGGAGCCCATAATCGACAAGTTTATCAATACAATGAGGTTTATCAATACAATGAGTCACAGCTGATCTTGTCAATACAATGAGTCACAGCTGATCGAAATGTTTGATGAACGGTCTATGATGTGGAAGGCTTTTGATGTGAATACTACATACATACATACATGCATACATACATACATACATACATACATACATACATACATATGAGCGAAATAGCAAACGACGAGTTATTTCAGCATTTTCCACTAATTATTTGACTCTTTATCGATAACATCAACAATCAGGGGGTACAAACGGAAACCACTTATCACTCCATACGGGTAATCCAACATCGCAGCAATGTTCAAACACGCACAGCGCCGACTGTTGTCTCGGATACCGAAAATGGGGCGGGTATCGGCGGCCGCCCTACCAGCCGGTGACACTTAGGAGCGGCCGCCGATCCCCATCGCCGTTGGCCTCGCGGAACGCTGTGTGTGTGGAGCACACGGGCGCCGCCGGCCCGGGCGCGGCGGCCGCACCCCGGCTGTAGGCCTCGCTCGGCCGGGCGACTCGCGTGTTTGTGGAACGCAGCGGCCTCGCGCTTCACTCGCTCGGCGGTGGACTTGCGCGGTGATCGACAAATAGCGGTGCACGACTGCTATCAGCCGTCCGTGGCCCGGCTGATAACTAGCGCCTAAAATAGATACGATCTTAAGCCCGAATCATTGAGTCCTTCGCCCGTACTGACTAACACTGGCGCACCATCTGGATAGTTACCGACTGGGGTCTGGACATTGAGTATCGTTGGCTGGGCAATGACCATCTCAATAGTGAGTAGGAACTACTACTGACCCACTAAGTAGCTACGCAACGGCGACTAGCTAACTGGGTGTCGTTCCATGTGATAGCGTTGTTCCCATTGCACCGGTCGTGGCTCTCCCGAACGAACGGTACTGCAGGTGGACTGAGGGCCTCGGCCTATTTCCGGACTGTCGCCGGCTGCGTTGCACCAGCTGGGACAAGTCTGGCGATCATATGAGCCGGAGAGTGCACCCGGCACCCGCCCCCGACGAGTGCTGCTCGACATTACCAGGTCCAAGGTCGGAACTCGGCCGCGACACACCGCTTTGAGATAAAGATACCGTGTGCTCTTAGGGACGATGGCAGGCCCGTCTACAGTGGCAATATGCTGAGTCACGATAGCTTGTTTTCGGTTGCACTGCAGTAGCCAGTTAAAATATTAGGTATTGTCGGTATTGACCATGGTAGAAATGGGATACGGTATTGATTACACGCCTTCAAGAAAGCATGGACGCTATCGATACAATGCAGCATTAGGTATCTGTTTTATTGTCTTTCCACGGATCTGCTATAGGTGGAAAGGTTTTCTTTAAAAAACGAAGTTTCGGGTGCAATATCGTCAATAATCCTACAGATGCCTGGTATTTCTTTTTTACCCACTCGTGTGCGATTCCGCCCAATCTTACCAAATGAACAAACACTACCGGCCCTCCTCGAACACTACGAACACTGCCGGCCCTCCTCGAACACTACGAACACTGCCGGCCCTCCTCGAACACTACAAACACTGCCGGCCCTCCTCGAACACTACGAACACTGCCGGCCCTCCTCGTTCCGGCAGTGAAAACACAAGTCGATGCATCAGTCGCGCCGCTTGTAATTTGCCCACAGATGGCACTAGTAAGAAGCGCCTGAAGGTATGCTGTACCGCATTGCTTGGTTCGACGCCTGGAGGTAGACTGTGCCGCATTGCTTGGTAAGGCGCCTGAATGTAGGCAAAGGCTGCGCCGCAGGCAGGGGCGGCGGATTCGGGGGGGCAGGGGGGCAGCTGCCCCCCCTGGCAAACTCGTGGGGGGGCAAAAGTATCTTTTTGCCCCCCCCCCATAATTTGTGACAAAGCTTAGACAAGAAACCATATACCTGATTATTCTGTTCTATCATCTGAAGATGTAACCAGATGCCTATATACTTTATCATACGCTGCCTTTCTTAAACGGCAAGCGTTCGCGTTCAACTGAAGTTTTCCTCTCTTCAACCTAGTTTTGGAAGCATTATAAGCGTCAACGTGACGCAGCGGCAACCCAGGCCTTCAGTGACCGCTTACAGGGGCGACGGATACGGGGTGGCAGAGGAGGCACCGTCCCCTAAAAAACTTTTGGAGGAGGGGCAAACGTACATTCTTGCCCCTCCATAATTTGTGCCCTACACATGAGGAAAATTTTCATAACCTGATATTGCAGCTATGCGCTCCTACGGTTTGTTCAACGGTGCCTTTTGAATATGTGTAAATGCTAACCATTTCCGCTTTATATCATTTTTTGTCTTTTCAGATTCGATTTAGAGATATTTGAAGTGTGCGAGAGACGCAACTCATACCTTCAGTGGTCGTTTGCCGCTAATTTGTACCTACATAAATGCCAAATCGCAAGCGAGCGGAGAGGGAAGGGCTAGCCATTCGCTTACGGGTACCTAGTTAGGACTGATGAGCGCTCATAATAAGCCATTCCCCTGATTTTTTTTTTGTCTAGCGCAAGAGTTTCCAGCGCATAAAATGGTAAATGTCGAGGTCGTACACATTGACCACATTGACCAATGCACGGTATGACACCCAAAGGCCAGTCATCAGAGATCTGCTTTGGGCATTCGGAGGCTTGTGTGGGGCGAGTGTAAAAACTGGATGTTCACAGTTCAGTATCCGCTTTATTTCAGTTTTCACTATTAAAAAAGTAAAAATTAATGTTGGAAACTTTTGAGGGTTAGGGCACTGATCATTAGTGGGCCCCCTGTGTCTAAAGGCTGGCTATAGAATGAAGAGCATCAAACACGAACAGTAGCGGCGGAACACCTTCAATTAAGGGGGGGGGGTTACTGCCGACTTTTGGACCCATTCTTTCCATACAACTCCCATAGGGCTAACGTTAAAATGCCAAAATCAAAGGGGATCACGGTGCCCCGGTGCCCTCCCCGTTCCACCGCCTATGAACACGAAAGCAAAATCTAAGGCATTTTGGAAAAATGAGTATGCCCCGCAGCGTCCGATAAAGTTACCACCTTCCAGTGGGTCAAGCCAACGGGGCCCAAGTCTATAATGGCACTTAACGATAGCACTAACCTTGTCTCACTTTTCTTGAAGTCTGTTCCGAATGGTTTCGGCCACAGACTGGCTGCACTGAGGTCGTTTGGCATGTGCAACTGTAATTAAAGCCACCTGAGGCGCCCTGACACCAGGCTGAAGCTGGGTAGGAAATGCTTCGTCTTTGCAGATATCACTGGCCGCTGATTCTCGAGTGCCTAAAACGGTAGATGTCGTGGCAAAATTTGGCGTGATAATTTGGACCTTACCGCAGTCAGCGCACCCTAAAGCCCTAACAAAGAAACGCCCCACCCAGAGCTTCTGGATTCTCGTTCCAGTTCACCGTTCCTTCACCCCAGCCCGCCGCCGCGCTCCCTCGCCTCAGCCCTCCGTTCCCAACTTGACGAGCGTTTGGGCCTTAGTTAAGCCTTGCTGTAGGCTTACTGTATAAACCCATCGAGACAGCCCGTCTCGGTGAGCTTAGTTGGCGAACTACTGCCTTGGGGAGGGTTTCTGACGGATCGCTGTCCCAATAGGTTTAGATGCGACCGACTGTCTCTGAATGTTTAAGCGGTCTCCTCCCGCTGTGAGCTAGTTTCAGTTGATATCTGTCTCAGAAATACTTTTTAAAGGAAATCGAACGTAAAATGAACAGAGGAAATGGTAACGAGTTACCTCATTGAAGAATAGCGCTCGCCTACTTAAAAAGGTTTGGCACCGTTCTTCAACATCTGATATGCGATCGGGTTATGGCACAAATTTCCCATTGGAGCTTTTTTCTAATACAGCAATACGAAAAGCGTTACGTCGTCCACTGGCGGATCCAGGGAGCGGGCATTTAAAGCAAATGTTTACTCCCCCTCCCCCTGGCCCCTGCATTGCCAGAAATAGACAAAACGTATCTTATGTTTCCTAATAATAACACTTTTATCGGATTTTTTTTTTGCTATATACTGTTCAGCAGTAGGTCCGTAAGGAATCGAAATCCGAGGATTTTTTGGAGTTTGGACACTTTTTTTTTTGGGGGGGGGGGGGGGTATGTCCTCTACAGCGTCGAAAACGCCTTTCTGGATCCGCCTATGACATCATCTCGACTGGGATCTTGCCCCCCCACGCCAAAATCGAATCCGCCGCCACTGGCCGCAGGTAGTCACACGTAAATTCAGATAAGCATAAGCTCGGCCTGGAAAGACAGCGATGGTACCTAACGCTTGTTGGTGGCGTGACATGCAATGTTATCGACCTGTAGCGGACGATGATCACTTACCTAATTTAGCGGACGATGAAATAGATCTTCAGCGGCGCAGCTCAATTTTCAGCTATTGCAGGTGGCACCCATGCATGGGTGCCATGTGCAATAGCTGAAAAGTAAGTCATATAGCGGACGATGATACCGTCCTCACTTGTGACTGACGGTGATACCACCCTGTGGAAGACGATGGTGTATGTCGATGATACCGTCCTAAGACAGATACTGGCGGATCCAGGGGGAAACATTTGGGGCAAATGCCCCCACCCCCCTGCGGCCCCCATAATCTACATTGTTCTCTAGAGTGAAAAGAAAACTACCTTAACAACTTTTATCAGGAAAAGCTTTTGTAAACTGCTCAGCAGTGCGTCAGGGATCTAAATCCGGGGAGTTTTTGGAGATTGGAGCAGCTTTCGGGGTGGGGGTGGGGGTATTATGCGGTGCCCCAGCAGCGTCCAAGACCGCTTTTCTTGTGACTTACGATGGTGCCACCCTGCGGCAGAGCCCGCCGCCGCCGTTGGTGATGTCACCTCTGTGTGCCGTGACGTCACTCCTGCGGTCGATATAAGGGCGGTGACGTCGGCCCGCTGTAACTCAGTGCGGGCCCTGGAGCGACCGGGTCCGGTTCTCCGTGTACGGGTTATCGGAGCGAATATACGGAGCGGCAGTCAGCTGGCGGCGACGAGAAGTCACCCCAGCGACTCGACGGTAGAGGGGAACGGTGAGCGAAAGCTGCAATGTGCGGCGTAGGCAGGACAATGGCTGAGCATCCCTTGTAAATGTAAATGTAAAATGCAAATGCTTAAAAATGTAGGTAATGGTAGCGCTGTCTATGTACAGGGCGGTTGTGTTGATAACGTTTACTGGAGTTAGACGAGCATTTTACTTTGTTGTAGAATAAGATGTTTTAAATTACAACACAGCAATGCTAGTTTTCATATAGTTATTTTGACCGTGCATGGTATCCCTTTCTACTCAATGTTCTCGCTCCTGTTATGCTGTCAGAAACCCGCCCATAACCGGCTGCCGTAGCAGCCCACCGTTTTTCGGCACCTACACAAAACACCCCACCGGCCTCCCCTTTTGGTGACAGGTGTTCGGCTCGACGTGATCGCCGTGAGTTGTGACGCCATGGCGGCACCCAAGGGAAGGATGGTGAGCTTCACCATCGACGGACAACAACATCAAGGTGAGTCACTCCGCCACAAAAAGTAATGGAGTCTAAAAACGATCGCATGTTTTTAGTACCTACATGAGGTAAAAACAAGTAATCGAAAGTGGATATCCTGCCAACCACGACGCCCAACAAACAGCCGTTATGCGGTAGCTCACAGGGCAGCCCAACGAAAAGTGAATTATAACTTGTAACATTACATAAAGTCAACTCAATCTAGTGCCTTTGGTCACTATTATTTTCGACGATCGTTACGGTGCGTTGCCTATTAGCGCTACTAGCGCTTTCGGTTTCCATGGAAACGCCAACAAATCAAGACGTTTGCAATGAAGGCTGTTAATGTTTCCATCATCTATGCAAACCAAAAGCGCTAGTAGCGCTAAACCGAAACCGCTAGCAGAATGCCGTGAAACAGGGCGCTGGAAGCCTGGAATGTAGACTGTGCCGCGCGCTTGGATGTACTGCGGGACAGCCTAACTTGCCCATCCTGAGTGCACGCCACAGTATCAGTCGGGGGAGGTTTGGTCAATCGTTGTCATTTTTAGCACGTGCTATTTTTGTCACACGTGCTAAAAATGACAACGATTCTGCTATTTTTGACAACGATGAGGCCGATTTCACTCCTCAGCGAGGAAATCACGATTTTGGAAATACAAGCACTGATTTTGGAAAAGAAGTGCTGCCACCTGGTGCAAGACGAAGAATCCAGCTTTAATATGCCTGTTATTTGTATGGTAGTTTGTTTTGTGGCCTGAAGTTGGAACTTAAAATTGAAGCATCCGAAAATGATCGATATTGATCGAAAACATGATGTTGATGAAAAAAATAATATTTTAAGTTGAGAGAGGAGGCCATTTTATCCAGATGCAGTAGTTTACTTCTTGAAATTATTTTTGCTAATGACGGCTGCTAATTATCCCTCATTACATGGCAGTCGTCGTAAGCAAAAATAATTTCAAGAAGTAAACCACCGCATCTGGATAAAATGGCCTCCTCTCTCAACTTAACATATTATTTTTTTCATCAACATCATGATTTCGATCAATATCGATCATTTTCGGATGCTTCAATTTAAAGTTCCAACTTCGGGCCACAAAAAAGGGTATACTTCAACGTTGGACTACCATACAAACAACGGCCATATTAAAGCTGGTTTCTTCTTCTTGCACCAGGTGGCAGCACTTCTTTTCCAAAATCAGTGCTTGTATTTCCAAAATCGTGATTTCCTCGCTGAGGAGTGAAATCGGCTTCATCGTTGCTAAAAATAGCTGATAGCGTTGTCATTTTTAGCACATGGTTGCCAAAAATGGCATGTGCTAAAAATGACAACCATTGACCAAACCTCCCCCAACTGGTATGATCCGTGCGAGGAAGGCGGGCGTGGCGGGAGCGGTGGGACCGGGGGACAGGCCAGAACGACCATGTGGTTCAGGAAGTGACATTTTGATGCATCAATCACGAATCACGTGGTCAGGAATGGTATACACATTAGCTGTTCCATGCAGGTGGACTCCCCCACTTCGTATACCTATACGAAGTGAATTACATTTCACCATTAACGTTTCCCTGCAGCCCGTTCCCATTCGGTTCCCCACGCGTCTGTTCCTCTCGGACGGAAGTTCTGGTGCACTGTTAGCGCGATAGAAGGCTAACTGCGCTATGATGCACGTCTGGACCGGTTGGGCATGCTATGGCCGAACCGAACCATCCTATCGATGCGATCTGCTGTTCAGTACGGCCGCAGTGATTCGGAGAATATGTGGCCTCAGAATGGCTCGAATGGGCGCGCTTTGGCTAAATCATGATGACCGATGATGTCTTTCGTTTTATATGCCCTAGCTGCTGTTGATATCCGCTCTGGACCGGTGAGGTGCCCTTCAGGGCCTCGTCTAAGGAATTTTCACTGGGGGGGGCCAGAGACAACCCAGCCAAACCTAGGGTACCCCCAAATCCTGTTTTCTCACCGGATTTCGACCCCTTATTTTTCATCACAGCCCTGATACCATGATTTTTTTCTTAACTAAGAAAAAAAAATAGTAGACGATCCGACCAATGCTATTATATTAGTTTGTAGTCTCCTCACATTGCCCAATTAGACAGTAATAATCACACTTCTCGGTGTTGAGCGTTTGTTCGAGTGGCATGGCAGTGCCTCGTCTAAGGAATTTTCATGACGAGCCTCATGTCGATGGCCCGCACGCATAATTTCTTTTGCGAACCACATCGGTTTCTGATGGGCTCCGCCGATTCTGAGCGCTCGGTACCGAACTCTGAGGGTTAATTCCAGCTTCTGGACCCACGTCGGCCTCTACATATGGTAGCCCACACTGGTTTTATATGATCCATACCGATACCAGGCTTTAAAGATCATTCTAAGTAGAGACCGTACTCTCCCACGTAGGGCCCCCTCAGACCAGTGTATTGCCTGTGTATCAACTTGGAGACTGACTACTGAGGGCTTCTCAGGTGGATTCAGGTGGATAATCGCCGTAGATCTCCGACACAACCTTAAGGTCGTCAGAGGCTATAATGTGAGACAATCGGGGCCCCGTGGCCGTGTAGTAGCGCAATTTGAGGCCCGTTGGGACCCTAAGTGACTGGGATTTGCCCTCCGGCACTCCATTTTTGTTTTGTTTTGTTGGGTTAGGCGCTTTCGGTCTGACGAGACCATTTCAGAGCCGGAAGGATGATAGGAATTAAGGACAGACATTGGTCTGGGCAGGCACCCCAGTGAGTCACCTGGGCTGAACCTGCCCAGTCGGACAGGCCGCCCAGCCCACTGGCGCTCACTGCACCCGGCTGCGGGCTAGCTCCAGTGGAGCCGTTCCCGTGTGGGTTAGAGTTGCCCGTCCCGCCCGGAGCAGGGGGTTGCGGCGTGGAGGAGAATGATTTGACTGTCCTGAGGATGGAAAGCACGGACCGGTGCCGGGACTCAATGCCGACCTCTTTAGATAACCCAGAGCTGTCAGTTCCCGTCCCCACAGACAGACCACCAATCTGCGCCTATGTACGACCACCCGGAACGGGAACCTGCTTCATTACGATTAGGAGCTTGACTCTAGCCGCACACCGGTGACCGTCCAGCCAGAAGTTGGACGCTGCATAGTGAGGACGAATACGATGATAGGCAAAAACAGATTGACGCCCCGAGGACAGAAACAACAGATTAATAGGAGAATTTGATACGTTGTTTGATACGTGATTGATAGGAGAGACTAGGCAAAAAAAAGAGAATTTTTGCCGGTAGAGCGTTGGACCCCTCGTGGCTCGTGGTGAGGGCACGCGTCCCGGTTATAACAGTCCGGGTTCGAAGCGCGACGGAGTCGCTCGATGTTTATGAGCCTCCTGGCGAGTATAGTTGCGGTTGGTAGCGGGCTGCAGCCAGTCGAAGTCAGTGAGGGGACCGGCCGTGCGCGGCAATGTGCATATACGTTAAACTTTGGGCTCTAAATGCTGTCATAGATCAGGAATTGCGCGATCGAAGGGTAGAGGGCAGGGCCAACGCAACAAGCTCTGCTTAGCGGGGACTCTGTCCTTGTGAATCCTTCCATTCAAAAGGTTCGGACTTAATTTATAAAAAAGAATATCCAGGACACGGAGTTGGGCCACCTGAAAAGACAAAATGTAACGTATTGCTGAGCGAAAAAAAGGTTCAGGTAAGCAAAATAAACACTTGATAACAACCCTAGGTAATCGGGTCAATGTGCTCACATTGCATCCATGTGTCGTTTACGCGTTTGTTTTGATGTGCACTGACACCTTGCAGTAAAAATTCGTTTGCTCTTTCGCTATTGCCGGCCCCCCCAGTAGTGACTTTTTGCCCTGACTGGGGGGGCCAGGCAGGTGACTGCGGGGGTTTGGCCCCCCCAGTTAACATGTTAGACGAGGCCTTGGTGCCCTTTACCACGCCGGCCGCTGTGACCGTCCTCCCTGCGCCGGCAGTGAGCGTGGGAGCCGCGTCGGACGGCTCGACGGCGCCGGTGACGGCGTCCACCTCGCTGGCCGACTACCTGCGCGACCAGTGCGGCCTGCGCGGCACCAAAGTCATGTGCCGCGGAGGCATGTGCGGCGCGTGCGTGGTGACGGCGCGCGTCACCGACCCGGCCACCGGTCAGACGGAGGTGCGCGCCGTCAACTCGTGTCTGGCGCCCGTGCACAACTGCCAGGGCTGGCAGATCGAGACCGTGCAGGCCATCGGCGACCGCAAGGCCGGCTACCACCCGGCCCAGTCGCGGCTGGCACAGATGAACGGCACCCAGTGCGGCTACTGCAGCCCAGGAATGGTCATGTCCATGTACAGGTAACGGACTAATCACCCAGTGCGGCTACTGCAGCCCTGAAATGGTCATATCATGTCCATGTTGTACAATGTACATTTCACCTACATTGTATAGGAAACGGACGGTGCACATAATCTCCCGTCTGTCTCCCGCAGTCTGCTGGAGTCTGGCGAGGCGGTGACCCCCCAGTCGGTCGAGCAACACCTGGACGGTAACTTGTGCCGCTGCACCGGCTACCGTCCCATCCTGGACGCCTTTAAAACCTTCGTCCCGGAGGCCGACGAAAAGACTCAGCAGATCATCAAGGACATCGAGGTAAACTGCGCCCGACGCTCGTTAACCCCAATCGGTGATCATTAAACACTCCGCGGAACGGGGAACAAGAGAAATAGATTGTCACTATTTAGTTTATATTGGAATGGAACATATTGACACTTTGAATGCATGTAATATGATATTTATGGCATTGGGAGTGTGGTGTCATTTTGCAGGGTGACTAGCGATGGTTTGCAGTTGGACACTTACCTAAGCACTTATTGATCTTCGACGGTGTAGAATGTCGTTGCGCGCTTTTCCTCCATTGAGCTAATCTTTTTTCGAAAAAAACACTGAATGTTTTTAAAGCGTGGATTTAAAGCATGCTCTTTTGCTAGGTATTGGCTACATGATTGATGAAAGGAAATACCTAAACAAATAGACATGCAAGATAAATAAGCCTGAATGCAATTTCTTCGCAATGGTAGACCGACCTTTCAGTCGTTGGGCTAATTTTTCGGCAATCATTGCCGGATACAGCAATTATTGATACAATGTTTAGGTACCTACTGAGCAAGCTAAAGCAAGAAAACGTATTTGTTGGTGACTGTCATTCGGATTTGGCACGCACTATCGTTTTCAAATAGTTTGCAGCATGGTAACTTTATAATGAAATAAACTCTCTATCAGCTTGGATCTTACGGTAAAAACATGATTGGTAGGTAGCAATGAATCCTGCATGTCATTCGACGCCCTTGTGAGTTGTGTCAGTCCCTCATTTCTGATCAAAACAACATCATACTGTCGCACAAAGTCCGCTATAAAGGTGCCATAGCCCTTATAGTGCAAACGATCAGTTTTTGACCCCGTTGCGATGCCAGCTACGTCATCTACAGCGTCATGCTTGAGCTTGTTACAGACTGAGGATGGGGGCGAGCCGGTACTTGTTCAGAAGTATAGGCATACTCCAATGAAGTAGCACTCCAAACAGATCCGCCTGCCGCCGCAAAGAGCTTTTAGAACAGGTGTGTGATAAGACGCACTGCGTTCGTAATCGCGATCTCTGTCGCGTCGGAACTTGTCTCCGCTCTTCAGACAGAGGCTAGACTTATATCCCAACGTCTCGAGTTCAAGGTAGGACACCGACCGATAGTGAGATACACATTTAGGCCTTCACTAAGCTAAGCGAGTATATTGGTATTTGGTACTATGTATATTAAAGGGACTATCCCACCTTTAACATGGGGTTTGAGTTGAGATAGCCAAGTTTGCGGCGAGGTTCAGAAACCACTATCTATCTAGGTTGCAACCCCCGCGGCCTCTTGGTGTTGAAGAAATTCGTTCCCTACATTTGAAAATGGGCCTTGTACAAGGCCCTATCTTCAACATGGAGCGACCGTTAGTGTGACGTCACCTCGTTTAGTCATTTTGATTTAAATGGGTTTGTTCGTTGAAAAATCGCTTAAAACTTGGTCTGAACTTTGTTGTGGTGCCTACAGAGTAAAAAGAATCAGCTTTATGACAGTAATGTGGCCTGGGGAAGGAGGTAATTTTGGGCTGTGACGTCACATAGGTATTTGAAAGTTTGTGTTTGGAATATGGGAAGCATAAGATGTTTAATGAAAAATAAATGCCAGAACCGTGTTCCTGGTCATCCAATCTATAAAGTTGGGCACAATTTAACTGGTTTTAACAACATTTTAGAAGGTGGGATAGTCCCTTTAAAGAAGCAGCCAGACCGAATTGGCAGCTTCTTGATGACTAGCCCTCGTCGGCACAGGGGGGGGGGGGGTTGATGCAACCCCCCTAAGGTTTTCGCGAATAACTCGCGTAAAAAGCGGCCGATCGCGACGAAACTTTCAGTACCCTCGCATTGATCAATTTTACACCTACCCTGAAAATTTCATGACCCCCAAATGACCTTTGACCTGTGACCTCTTTTCAGAGACCATGTTTGGCCGGAATCGCGATTCCGCGTATGTCGGCTCGCATTAGCCGCGCGTTTGCAAGCTTTCCGTGGTTTCAAACGTTCAAACATGTGATTTGATGTTGCTCCCATACATTAGGGTGGGTGTCAAGGTCACCTGAAGGTCAGGTCAGGTCATTGACCTTTGGTGACCTCGTGTGACCTCGGTTCACTTTTTCGAGTTTTACATGTTTCTAGGCTAGTTTTTGGAGCTGAATTCGAATTTAGCAACCATTTGAACATTTACGAAGTAGTTTTGGTGCCTTCGTAACCTGTTACAAAGCTGTCAGAGGCGGTTGACACGTATTACGAATACCCGTCACAACCCCTACCGGTTGACCTGACATGACCTGACCCAACCTGGTCTAAATGCTTAAAGACATCATCTTTGATCAAAACTAACACGGTATTCGTGATCAGCACCCCGGAAACCACATAGCAGCCGCACTTTACGACTTTCTAACAGGTCCCGATTTTCCCGGTTTTCGGGTCATGGACCTGACCTGGAAGGTCATCCGATGACCTAGGACCTTAAAATTGGGTATCATCGGCTTCCTCTCGTGACGGGCAACACGTACGACGTACGTTTTTTCCGCGAAGCTCTAGCTCGATCAGGGGTCTAACGCGAGGGGGGGTCGCACCCCCCCCCCGTGTGCCGTCGAAGGACGCAAAATGGCCTGTGCCGGCGAGGGCTAGGCTACTGATCGTCCAATCGAATGGTTTTCGTCTTTTGTTGTTGTTACACGGTTGCCATGTGTGATCTGAATCACCTTGTATCGTGCTTTTGTACTTTTTTATTGCCACTCTGTTGTCCTCTCCGACTGCTTTAGTGATCGCAATAGAAGAGATCGTTCTGAAGTGACTGAAAAACTCGCCCACCTATATCTCTCCAATTACTTTTTGTCACTGACGTACTCGTATAATCATTTCGCGGGCCGCAATAACTCCGTTTTGTCTCAGCGCTCTCAGCGGTAACTCGGTGTCTGTCTGTGTCCCTCTGTACAGGATGTGGCGGTGGTAACTGGTAACTCTGTCTGTCTGTGTCCCTCTGTACAGGATGTGGCGGTGGTAACTGGTAACTCTGTCTGTCTGTGTCCCTCTGTACAGGATGTGGCGGTGGTAACTGGTAACTCTGTCTGTTTGTGTCCCTCTGTACAGGATGTGGCGGTGGTAACTGGTAACTCTGTCTGTCTGTGTCCCTCTATACAGGATGTGGCAGCGGTAGCTGGTAACTGGTAACTCTGTCTGTGTCCCTCTGTACAGGATGTGGCGGTGGTAACTGGTAACTCTATTTGTTTGTGTCCCTCTGTATAGGTGATGTGGCAGCGGTAACTCAGTGTTTCTTTCTGTGCCCCTCTGTATAGGATGTGGCTCCCTCGGGCTCCAAGGCGGGCTCGTGCGCCAAGAAGTGCTCGGGCGGCGGCGGCGGCGGCGGCTGTGTCGGCTGCCCGCGCACCGCTCGCCTGGCGTCTGACGGCGCCGAGAAGTGGTCCTACCCGACCAGCCTGGCTGAGCTGTGCGCCATCATCAAGGCCAACCCGGCCGACAAGACGCTCAAGCTGGTCCGAGGCAACACGGGAACAGGTCGGTCCGGGATTGCCGGTCGAGCGAACGGAGCAGTGCCGCTCAGGCTCCGTCGATAAATTAAGGTCAAACAATGATCTAGATATGCTTAAAATACTTTCTTGATTATCATTTGGCTTACCCGTGGGCCGTGATCACTTTTTTGTACGAGAAAACCACTATAGTGGTTTATGCGTATGCTTTGATGCTATATGCACATGCATATTTCTCACCGTGATGGTGTTTCCCAGGTGTTTACCACGACGCCGGCCAGCCGGACGGCTACGTCTCGTTGCTGAAGGTGCCCGAGCTGAGTCAGGTGACCCAGACCGCCTCCGCGCTGACGCTGGGCGCCGCCGTCTCCCTCTCCCGCGTCATCGAGGAGTTCCAGAAGCTGTCCTCCACGGCCGGGTTCGGCCACTTCTCCGACATGGCCTCCCACCTGCTGCTGGTGGCCAACACGCCCGTCCGAAACGCCGGCAGCTGGGCCGGCAACCTGATGCTGAAGCAGACGCACGGCGACTTCCCGTCTGACGTGTTCCTGCTGCTGGCGGCCGCCGGCGGACGGCTCCAGATCGGTACGGACGCCGAGGGTCGCTCCCCGCCACCCTTCGGAAGCAGTCTGTAGGTCGCCTCTCGTCCTGCTCGTCACCTTTACCCAGAGCCAGAGCTCAGCGTATTGCCTGCTGTCTCCGATAGATGTCAGTAAGATCGTACCCCTGGAAGTAGGCTGTACCGCAAGCCTTAACCCTCGCCCGCACATGGGGGGGGGGGGGGGTTGCCACCCCCCAGGCAGTCTTTCTGCTCTGCACTCAACATTTTTAGAGCTAGAAGGCTGATTTTTCGTATAGCTGCTTGTCTATCCTTTCTTGATGTCCACTGAAAATTTCAAGTTTCTGTGATTTTTGGTTTCGGAGATATGACCTTGTTTTTCAGGTCATGTCATGACCCAAATGGCCAATTCTCAACATCTTGCATTTGCCATGGGCCTTGTGAGCTTTTGACACCCTGATTTCGGCCTTTTTTGCCAGTCTTACCTCCCACCTATCATGGAACATGTTGTTCGACGATGTACAGGGGTCAAGGTCAGGGTCAAGGTCAACCTAGGTCATCTAAGATAATTGCGTTTTAGGCAAGCTAAATTTACTTTTTGTGAAGTTTTTTTACTGCATTTTTGGTAAAAGCTTCTCAGATCATGATTTCGTGTGATATGGACCCAAAAACAATCGGTGCACACATCAGTATACACACAGACACACACAGACATACAAACACATATAATTGACCTTGACCTAACTTGACCTGAAATGACCTCAGCAGCAAAATTCTGGTCGGATAGTGTGACAAAGAGGTTCTAGCTGGCTTGGCACCAGAAAACAGCATCGTCATCGGTATTTGATAAGCAGCGCACTTGATATCCAACGGTGACCCAAAACAGCAACATTTTTTTTTGTTTGACCTGACCTGGAAGGTCAATGACTGACCTGAGAAGGTAAAACTGGGTATCATTGGATTCGTCTCTTCCCAAAGAATCTTTTTGGTCTTTACTGCTAAGCTCTATCTCCAACAGGAACGAAATGGCGCGGGGGGGGTTGGCAACCACCCCCCCCCCATGTGCGTTCTAGGATGGGAAAATGGCATGTGCGGGCGAGGGTTAAAAAGAACCCGTCATGTCTTGGCCTAATCATTTCATTTAGAGGTGAAAGACAAAAAAAAAACAGAGAGAAAGAAAGAGAGATAGAGGGGAATATGCATGCTGTATTTGCTCTCTGCAGAGGAGCCGTGGTAGACGACAGAGTGGCCCTGGCCCGCCCGTCTCACCCGTCGCTGACCGTCCCCACAGCCGACGAGGACGCCGCCACTACGGAGATCTCCGTCGAGCAGCTGCTCTCCGAGGACATGGCCCGCAAGGTGATCGTGTCAGTCACACTGCCCACCCTGGACGAGACCAAATACGTCTTCAAGTCGTACAAGGTAATGTTCACCGATACAAAGTGTGATTAACGGCATACTTGGCCTCTCTTTAAAAAAGTTAACGTTGTGTTTCATTTCAGAAAGTGTATCAGACGTGCCTCGATGAAAACTGTGTGAACCGCGAGACACGTTGCCGGGGAATTAAAAACATCCTAATTCTATTTTTAGCTGACTTCTGTGTAAAGAATGGGAAGCTAATTCTAATGTGCAATTCTTTTCTTATAATGTGCAATGATCTGCGTTTCGCTGCAGATCACGCCCCGCGCCATCAGTGCTCACGCCTATGTGAACGCTGCCTTCGTGCTGCCGCTCGACGCCTCGTTCACCGTCGTCGAAAAGCCGACGCTGCTGTTCGGAGGGATCAGTGCCGACTTTGTAAGTCACACAGAGCAGAGAAGGAGATGAAACTACCGTGATACGTTTTTGACGTAAATAAAGCCGCTGTGTAGAGTTTAAAACGTACTGCTAAATTAGGTTTTTAAACGCTCTATTACGAACAATTATATTTGTTCCAATAGCTTGTGCATAAAACAAAAATGTATTTGTCTTAGTTAAAAAGAAATGGTACAATGCGTGGTTCACAGTAAATTCGTAATGACCGTTACATGCCGTAAGTAATACGGAGGAGGAACCGTTTAATAAACCATTTAATTAGACTATCAAAACCGTTTAAATAAGTGGGAAATGAAGATCGTGCCCTCGTTGTAGTTCTACGTGTCTCTCCAGCTCTAATGTCAGAGCAGAGCTGTCCCACTGTCAACTAACTGTGCACCTCTGAACTCTCTCTCTCTCTCTCTCTCTCTCTCTCTCTCTCTCTCTCTCTCTCTCTCTCTCTCTCTCTCTCTCTCTCTCTCTCTCTCTCTCTCTCTATCTCTCTCTCTTTCTCTATCTCTCTCTTCACATAGGTACACGCCGCCAACACAGAAGCGTTCCTGGAGGGACGTTCGCTGACCGATGAGCAGACGGTGCAGGGCGCGCTGGCCGCTCTTCAGGCCGAGGTGGTACCGACCCCCGACCCGGCAGAGGCCGACCCGGCCTACCGACGCAGCCTGGCCTGCGCACTGCTGTACAAGGTAGGTGCCAGACAGGTCTCCATGTGCTGCCGTTTGGGGAGTTTAATAAAACTACGGTCACAGGGGGAAAATGTTAATAATACAATTATGAATATTAGTGAACACAAGTATGTGAACGAAGGTTATCTGAAAGTGAAACGGTTCCGTCAATCTGCCGACCACCGTCGGGCCGGTCCTCCTTTCAGACAGCTCGGCTGGTCCAGTGATCTCTCGTCCACGATCAGTCCTCTCCGGTGACCCCACCGTGTCTGTCCCCCAGGTGGTGCTCCGCGTGCTCGGTGACCAGGTGCCGGCCCCTCTGCGCTCCGGGGGAGAGGACCTCACCCACCCAGTCAGCTCGGGCACCCAGCAGTTCGACACCGACCAGACCCTGTGGCCCGTCAACAAGGCCGTGCCCAAGCTGGAGGCGCAGGCGCAGACCTCCGGTACGCAGAGAGGGTGTTGCGGCTGCAACTGAGAATGAGGAGAGGGCTGGGTGGCTGGGACGATATGGAAATGACGAAAGGTATTAACCGTGTGACTTTGTTTTCATCGATTCCTTTTTTAAATTGTTTTATTGACCTAAGTCATTTGAACATGTACGACTAGAATACATACGTGTGTTTTGATGCATTCCCCAATATTTGTTCCACCGCAATGCCTCTGGAAACCGTATTCAAATCGTCACGTGGCCGATCTGTGACGACCCGCTCGGTCACCAGGCGAGGCCAAGTACACTGGCGACGAGCCGGCCGAGCCGGACGAACTGGTGGCCGTCTATGTGCAGACCACGATCGCCAACGGCCAGGTGGCCAGCGTGGACACGAGCGCCGCGCTGGCCGTGCCGGGCGTGGCCGGCTACGTGTCTGCCGCCGACATCGCGGGCGTCAACAACATCTGCAGCTACGGAGACACCGTCGAGGAGGTGAGACAGAACGAGCCATCGGCCGAGACATCACCGTTCCGTGCTTCTATCCTCAGGATACTGAAATCCTTCTCCTCCACGCCGCAACCCCCCTCCGGGCTGGACAGGCAACCTTATCTCATGCGGGCTGCTCCCTTGGAGCGGCACCGCTGCTCCCGAGGGAGCGCACCCCGTAGCCGGGTGCAGTGAGTGCCTTGGGGCTGGGTGGCCTGTCCTCTGGACGGGCTCAGCCCCGGCGACTCACTAGGGTGCCTGCCCATGTCTCCCCCTATATCCTATCATCCTCCCGGCTCTGAAATGGTCTCATTGGACCGAAAGGGCCTAACCCAACAAAACAAACAAACAAACAAAAGCCGAGACATGAAACCACCGAGCCATGGTCGATCTCATTGATAGCGATGAGGGATGACGGCTTGGGCCGAGTCGCGTCGCTTACTTGTGTGTTTGTCTGTCTGTCTGTTTGTCTGCTTGTCTGTCTGTTTTTCTCTTTGCCTCAGCCTGTATAAATGTCTGACCTACAATATGTACCCCCGTCTGTTACTTTGACATATCTCCATCCGTCTAACCGCTCACCTCTCCGTCTCCCGCAGCTGTTCACCTCGGGCCAGGTGCTGTACTACGGCCAGGCGGTGGGTCTGATCGTGGCCGACACGTACAGCGCCGCCCGTACCGCCGCCGGGCTCGTCAAGATCACCTACACAGACGTGCAGCCGCCGGTACTCACCATCAAGGACGCCCTGAAGAAGCAGGGCGGGTCGGCCACCGCCGCTCCTGCCGCAAAGACCACGACCAAACAGGGTAGGTGTCAGGAGATATATAATCAAAATACTGGCTGTTTGATGGTTACGACTCAATAATTGCTGCCTTCAGGTGTTGTGGCACTTAGGAAGGCAGTAACGTGACCCATTAATTAATGATATTCCATCCGTATTCTTACAATAAAGTGGGAACATTATATATTAGCTACGATTGTTTTATAAACCGACCCTTACATTTGTGAGGCGGCAACAGAATTTCACCATGGTCCGTAACTATCTTGCGACACCGTTTATACTTGCCACTATCCGTCTGATCGGAGCCCTACCGCCCTCTCTCCACGCCGTCCCGTCTCTCCAGGTGTGCGTCAGGTGATCGGCGAGTTCAGCATAGGCGGCCAGTACCACTTCACCATGGAGACGCAGACGGTGCGCGCCGTGCCGAGGGACGACGACCAGCTGGACCTCTTCAGCGCCACCCAGGACATGAGGGACGTCAACAAGGTCGTCTCCCAGATCACCACTCTACCCATGCACAAGTGAGACGGCCAAAGTCGACCAGCTTCGCCAGCGGTAGAGGGATATATATATATATATATATATATATATATATATATATATATATATATATATATATATATATATATATATATACATTGGGCTTTGAAATTAGTGAGCGCTGCGAATGATTGAACATTCGTCCGGGTGAAGTAAGAAGATCAATTGACGAAATACGGTATGAAATGTTTTATTATCACCTGCGATGTGGCTGACTTTTAGGGATTGGGGCGCCGGAATTTGATTGGCTTTCGGGCCATCCGAAATTTCAGAAAAGAATCGTGGCACACGCGCGCTAAGCGATGTCTCCAGAACCGAGTGCTTTGACGTTCTCTGACTCCTCTGACGCTCTCCCGCCTCCCCAGGATCAACATGTCGGTGCGCCGATTGGGCGGCGGGTACGGTAGCAAGCTACAGCACCCGAGCCGCGTGGCCAGCGCCGCCGCAGTGGCCGCGCTGACCGTCAACAAACCCGTCCGGTTGGTGCTCGACATCCGGACCAACATGACACTGCTGGGCGGCCGGCTGCCCTACCTCATCCAGTATCAGGTGAGTACAAAATCCGGCATGGTGTTATGATGCATCGTTTTGCTAGAGCCGTGTTCTTTAACCCGCGCCGGGCCGGTGCTCTGAGATTCCGCGCCGGGCCGGGGGGGGGGGGTGTCTGAACACCCCCCCCCTTCTAACTCGGCTCCTGGGCCACGTAGCGACACGCGGTAAGCGGCAATCGAAAGAACGTCCAAAATAAGGACGAAAACAATTCGGTCTTTTTCAGGTCAAAGGTCAGGTCACCAGAGGTCACCAAAGGTCAAATTCCCACTATTTCAACATTTTAGAAACTGCCAACGGCTATCTCGGGAACCGATAGAGCTACAGCGCCGCGGAAAAACGCATTCGATAGCCCTTTTACAGACCTTTCTGGTTAATGCTCTCAGATTTGACCTCAGGTCAACGGTTTAGCCTCCAGAGGGCAAAAACTCCAAAAATAGCCGTTTTTACGAAAAACGTTTTTTCGGCAATAACTTTTGACTCAAAATAGCCACGACATTACTGTTGCCACCATCGTGTTTCTCTCGTCGAGACGCGTCGAATGAACTATAATTTGACCTTGAAAGGTCAACTTGAAAATTTGACCTCAGGTCAAGGTCATGACCTGACCGGAAAAGGTCATGTTGCATATCAGTCGATCCGCAACGTCGAGCCGAACACATCTAAGGCGTTTTCAGCGCTTTAGCACGTCTCTATCAGAAGTTATTAGCGAAAAACTGTTAGATTCTGTTCGTGACCTGAGATGACCTCGGGGACATAACGAGGGTCACAGTTGCCATTTTCCGGTTCAGTGTGTCCATTTTACCTACATCTCGATGTTTGAGAGTGTCTAGAATAGCGTTCGTGCAAAACAGACGCCTTTCAATTTTCTCCCATTGACTTATAATGGAGAGGTCGCAAAATTGACCTGACCTTAGGTCACCGATATCAAAATTCCGAGATATACATTTTATAGATAATGTTACTCTAATCAATCGCTGAAAGTTTCAGGGCAATCGATCAATCGGTGTAGCTATGACGAGCATTCTTATTTTTTCTGAGGTGAGGTCACTTGGCGTGACCTGGTGACCTGACCTAAGGTGACCTGGGTCTGAAATTTTCACAACATGTGCGGAAAAGATGCACGAACAGGTCCGCGCCCGCCGTTTTTGAGATATTTGCGAAAAACCGCAGGGGGGTGTTCAAACACCCCCCCCCCCCGGCCCGGCGCGGGTTAAATTAATTAACGCTGCTCTATGGGCTACATCGTTGTCTACAACACACTGCATGCAATATTCAGTCTCTTGGGCCGTCTCCAAACCATCCGTTTCCCACAGCGTGCTTCTCAGCATTCCATCCATCCCTTCCTATGACCTGACCCGGGTGACCTGCCTGCCGTCAGGCGGAGGCCGATGAAACCACCGGCAAGATCTCCAGCCTGCAGATCAAGTTCACGGCGGACGCGGGCGCGGTGGGGTACGCGGCTGACGACACGTCCTTGGCGCTGGACACGGTCACCAACGTGTACGAGGCCGAGGGCTGGCAGACGGAGGGGACTGCGGTGCTGACCAACACGGCCTCCAACACGTGGTGCCGCGCGCCAGGTGAGCCCGCCCGCCCGGCCGGCCGGCGCAGAAAAACGGTGTGCTGGCCAGGGGCGGATCCAGGAAAACTCCAAGGGGAGGGTCATGAATCGAAGTGGTGCCCCTACCTATACCCAAAATTAAAAACTCAACGGATTTCGTCCACTTCATTTTGGTGGTGCCCCCATTTTCAGTTTTTTTTATTTTTATTTTTTTTTTATTTTTAGTCAGTATCTTAACTCTTACCCACAACCACATTTACCAATTGTAAGCAAGTATATATGAATGTGTTATGTGTATATATGTTGTGGACGCTGAGTAGTGAGTACTTACCAGGAACGTTATCAGGTAAGCGAATCGTTGTCAGTCCGACGAACTTGACCCTGGCGTCTAAAGGGTCTGTCCTTGACACTTCAGGCTTGTCAGGGGCACCAAAGTCCTTCCAGGGACACCACAAACCTGTCAGGGGCACCTACGGCCTTGTAGGGGCGCCACAGGCCCGCCAGGAAGCAGGGGCACCACAGGCCTGCCAGGAAGCAGGGGCACCACAGGTCTAGCAAGTATACACGACAGGCCTGTCAGGGGCACAACGGGCCTGTTGGGCCCATGAGCACCCCTAGGGGCAGGGGCACCACAGTCCTTCCAGGGGCACCGCAGGCCTGTGAGGGGCACCAGCTGCCTAGCAGGGGCACCAGTCAACACAGGCCTGCCAGGGGCACCACAGACCTGCCAGGGGCACCAGAGGCCTGTCAGGAGCACCACCGACCTCGCAGGGGTAACTTGGGCCTGTCAGGGGCACCACGGGCCTGTCGAGAGGCACTTCAGGCTTTTCAGGGGCATCATAGTCCTCTCCGGGCGCAGGGGTAGCAGGGGCACCAGAGGCCTGCCAGGGGCACTACAGGCCTAGCAAGGGCACCACTGGTCTATCAGGGGCACCACGAGCCTGTCATAGCCAGGCATCTCAGGCTTGTCAAGGCCCAGGGGCACCACAGGTCTGTGAGGGGCACCAGCGACCTAGCAGGGGCACCAGTCAACACAGGTCTGCCAGGGGCGCCATAGACCTGCCAGGGGCACCACAGACCTGCCAGGGGCACCAGAGGCCTGCCAGGGGCACCACAGGCCTAACAAGGGCACCACGGGCCTGTCAGGGGCACCTCAGGCTTGTCAGGGCCCAGGGACACCACAGTCCTTCCAAGGGCACCGCAAGCCTGTCAGGGGCACCAGAGGCCTACCAGGGGCACCACAGTCCTTCCAGGGGCATTACAAGCCTGTCGGGGGCACCAGAGGCCTAGCAAGGGCACCACAGGCCTGCCATGGACACCACAGGCCTGCCAGGGGCACCACCGGCCTTGCAGGGGCGCCTCAGGCCTGTCAGGGGCACCACGTGCGTGCCGGGGACACTTAAGGCTTGTCAGGGGCGTTACAGTCCTGTCAGGGCCCAGGGGCACCAGGCCCGTGGTGTCCCTGCTAGGCCTGTGGTGCCCCTGGCGGTCCTGTGGTGCCCCTGTCGGGACTGTGATACCCCTGATAGGCCGGTGGTGCCCCCGGCAGGTCTTTGGGCCCCCGGGCCTCAAGGGGGGGGGGGCCATGACCCACGTGACCCCCCCCTTGGATCCGCCCCTGGTGCTGGCCTCAATGTGGAATACCTAAATATCGGAAAATGAGAAAACAGGCAGTGGTAAACCGATGAAGCGTTTGATGTGAGACAATTGACTAAGTGTAGGAGTCTGATTCTTTTTATATCTTCCTCCACTGGCTCTACAATCTACATTATATAGTATGTAACCGATAACGGCAATGAGTCCAGTCAACTTCCCCGAATTTCCTGACTCCATGCTATGACCTCTCCTGACCAGAATCGATACCTGATTGAGTCGATTCGCTTACGCTGTAGTTTTGTGACCTGTCGTGACCTCTCGTGACCCCCTGTGACCCAGGAACGGTGCAGGGCGTGTCCGGTATCGAGTGTGTCATGGACCACCTGGCTCACGAGCTGGGCATGGACCCGTGGGCGCTGCGACAGGCCAATTTCTTCGGGCCCGACACCAAGTTCAGGTGAGACTCCACATTCTTAAAGGGAATAGGTAACTGCTTATTGGCCAGACTTGCATGAAATAGCTCTGATGTGAGAGCGAGCAGTCGACAGTGGAGGAATAGTCGGTTACGTGTAAGTCAGCAAAGGGCATGTACGTCTGCTGCGACGTGTGTGTAACATTGGTGTCGGGTGGTGCTGACGGGATAACCGGGTACGACCGTGACACACACAGGAAGGGCGGCAACCGCGCCACCGACTACGACGTCTTCATGCAGATGGTGACGGAGATGTTCTCCGAGGCCGACATCGACGCCAGGAAGGCCGAGATCGCCCAGTTCAACCAGGTGACCGACTGATTAGGAGTCGTGGCGTGATAGTACACAGTAACTATGCGTGTTATATAGGAATGCCTACGGTACTCCACAACCCAAGTTACGCTTTTATAGTTGGAACTTGGATGTAGCTCATGGAGACCATTTGATTAGCCATATGATATCTCTATTTTCCTACTGGCACTGCTTTCATCCGTCATTTTGTTAGATGATATACGGTGGGTCTATTAACTTCTCATTCTCATCCGCCTGTGTCTCTGTCGATTCCTCAGGACAACCGCTGGCGGAAGCGTGCTCTGTCGCTGGTGCCGGTCCGCTGGCCCATTCTCCTGTTTGCCAGATATCCGACTATAGTCTCCATCTACAAAGACGACGGAACGGTGGCAGTGTCCACCGGCGGCGTCGAAATGGGACAGGGACTCAACACCAAGGTACGGGCCGAGCGAGTGATCGTACTAGGATCGACATTCACATGTTTTAATGATAACGAGTCAATCAGTGAGCTAGGATATCAAGTATTGTTGAAAGGTTGAAGCGTTTCTGCCGCTGAGTCAGCCAGTGTCCGTCAGTCACATCAGTCTGTCTCAGACCGCGGCAGTCAGTCCGTCTCACCAGAGCCCGTCTATACCGACTCGTTACAGGTGGCCCAGGTGTGCGCCAAGGTCCTCGGCATTCCCCTGGAGCTGGTCTCCGTCAAGCCCAACATGAACATCATCAACCCGAACGGAGATTCTACGGGAGGCAGCGTGGGCAGCGACATGAGCAGCTTGGTGAGAAATACGCCGTCGGGAGATACACTGGAGATCTGTGGCGAGAGAGAGGGAGAGAGAGAGGAGAGAGAGAGAGAGAGAGAGAGAGAGAGAGAGAGAGAGAGAGAGAGAGAGAGAGAGAGAGAGAGAGAGAGAGAGAGAGAGAGAGAGAGAGAGAGAGAGAGAGAGAGAGAGAGAGAGAGAGAGAGAGAGAGAGAGAGAGAGAGAGAGAGAGAGAGAGAGAGAGAGAGAGAGAAGGGATGGGAGGGAGGGAGAAACTGTGATGAAAACGGATCGGTCCGATTTACGAAAGCTTCAGGAGAGGAGTTTTGATAGAATGCTAAAGAGGCACAAATTTGGATAGAACAAGGCTGCATTCGGCAGTTAGTTCCGGTTTGACGCGTACTGACTGACCAAAATAGGTTCATGTAAGGCAGTTTACCTATCACTCGTAAGAAAAAAGAAGTGTCAAAAAGAATACAAGGCCACTAAGAAAAGGGAGTGATGATTCTACAAATAGTTTGGAATGATTTGAGGCGGCGCTGGGCGGGTGGGCATTTCTCGTGACGCTTCCCTTGCCCCTCCTCTCGCCTCCAGGCCACCAAGGCAGCCTGCGAGGAGATGAACGAGCGCTTGGCGCCGTTCAAGGCCGAGGGCAGTGCTTGGGCCGACGTCGTCAAGAGGGCCTTCAACCTCGGCGTCAACCTCACCGCCTACCATTAGTAAGTTTATGGCAGCGTCGAGCTTACCGTCCACCTAGTGATTTTCCACTCCGCATGGTCTTTTACAATAGAAATTCGCTACTCACGAAGAATCCCGCTCAAGTAGTAAGCATGCAGTCAAAACACTTGGCTCTTCTATCCCCCACCGTCTAACCGTCTGCACAGAGCGCTCTGTCAGACGCCACCGGCTAACGACTCTAACCCGTGGTGTCCACAGTCAGAAGCCGATCTTGACGCCGTACAACATCTTCGCGCTGGCTGCCGTGGAGCTGGAGATGGACGTGCTGACGGGCCAGTACCGGCTGAACCGCACCGACCTCTACGAAGACGCCGGACAGTCGCTCTCGCCGGCCATCGACATCGGACAGTGCGAAGGCGCCTTCATCATGGGCATGGGCTTGCACATGGGCGAGGAAAACCGCTACGACACCGAGACCGGCCGCAAGCTCACCGACTCCTCCTGGAACTACTACGTGCCGTCCAGCAAGGACATCCCCACCGACTTCCGCGTGAAGCTCATCAAAAACAACGACAACCCCATCGGAATCTTCAACTCCAAAGGTAAACTTAGATTCACATTTCCATCTCATTTTGCTCTGAACTGTGAATTTGTTATGCATTTTTCGGCCATTTGTTATCCATATTTTTTACTGTAACTTCTACAGAAATTTAACAAATATCATTATAAGTGACAGTTTAAAGATCGTTCGTCTGCATTCGGCCTTACTTTTTCCTTATCCTTATGTTCGGCCTTATGTTGTCCCCGCTCTGACAAGCCCCGCGCGCTGGCAGCCACGGGTGAGCCGCCCCTGTGCACCACCTACGCGGCCATCAGCGCGCTCCGGCAGGCCGTGGCCGAGGCCAGGAAGGATGCTGGACACACCGACTGGACGCAGCTGGGTGAGTGGGGATGGCAGCTGGGTGAGTGGGGATGGCAGCTGGGTGAGTGGGGATGGCAGCTGGGTGAGCGGGGATGGCAGCTGGGTGAGTGGGGATGGCAGCTGGGTGAGTGGGGATGGCAGCTGGGTGAGTGGGGATGGCAGCTGGGTGAGCGGGGAACGGGGATGGCAGCTGGGTGAGTGGGGATGGCAGCTGGGTGAGTGGGGATGGCAGCTGGGTGAGTGGGGATGGCAGCTGGGTGAGTGGGAATGGCAGCTGGGTGAGTGGGGATGGCAGTTGGGTGAGTGGGGAACGGGGATGGCAGCTGGGTGAGTGGGAATGGCAGCTGGGTGAGTGAGGATGGCAGCTGGGTGAGTGGGGAACGGGGATGGCAGCTGGGTGAGTGGGAATGGCAGCTGGGTGAGTGAGGATGGCAGCTGGGTGAGTGGGGATGGCAGCTGGGTGAGTGGGGATGGCAGCTGGGTGAGTGGGAATGGCAGCTGGGTGAGTGGGGATGGCAGTTGGGTGAATGGGGAACGGGGATGGCAGCTGGGTGAGTGGGAATGGCAGCTGGGTGAGTGAGGATGGCAGCTGGGTGAGTGGGGAACGGGGATGGCAGCTGGGTGAGTGGGAATGGCAGCTGGGTGAGTGGGGAACGGGGATGGCAGCTGGGTGAGTGGGGATGGCAACTGGATGAGCGGGGATGGGACAGACAGCGCACCGGCTGCACTGCCACCGAACAACGGTCCACTCTGCATCACAGTCACGTGATGAGTTTTTCGCCTCGGTTGACAAAGTAGGTACCTACAGCTGTCGTCGCATTGAAACCGGAAGTTCGTGGTTTGATCAGTCTCACTCACAATAAATCAAGACGTCCAAAAATATGTTTTTTTAATGCGCCAGATCAGCCTGTCGTCGTTCGGTTGTCCCTGTGTCTTGCTACTACCCGTCATAGGGTAACCTTGTTATTTGTGCTGTACTGTTTGTCAGTGGGTGACCCCGTTGCCTGCCGCCCGCAGACGCTCCGGGCACGGTGGAGAAGGCGCAGACGGCCTGCCAGCTCAGCCCCGAGATGTTTGTGATCTCGTAACGGACTAGAGGTCACAAACGGCCGTCAGAAGGCGACCCGCGACAGAGACACAGACGACGTGTGACCGGAGATCAATGTCATATGCTGTGACTCAGGAGTGATTGCGTGATCAGTGGTACTTTTAGATCAATTTGCAACGCTTATGCAAATGGGATACCTACAAAGGGGGACATTGTCGCAGATGATGTGTGACATAATTGATGAAGTGTTGATACGTACGCGAGATGATAGAAGATGAAAATATTCGGGATACGATGGACGAACGTTAAGGTATTCGGTGTTTTAGTGATTTATTGTTCAGCGCTAAATATAATACATATTTATGTTAACAAAATATACATTAGCGTCCCGTAGATGTGTGTGTTTCTTTCATCAAGAAAGCCGCTGAATCATTGGATGCTTTACAATGGCTGTAGCTTACCAAACATATGAACTTGAAACATGTATCTGCATTTACATGCATTATTGCTGAATCAATACAGATAATAAAAGGAAATCGGCGTTTGAAATAAGTAACAGCGATAAACCGTATACTATCGCACTATTATCGCATTATCTATTATCGCACTATTACCTATATGTTATCGCACTGCCTAAAGGAATTGTCAAAATGTGAGAACGAAAGAGTTTTTCTCTTCTTTGTAAGCAAAAAAGAAATAGTTCCATACGACGGGGTGCAGTGCACTCGACATAGGAGAGGGAGGGACAGTCTCGATGGCGTGGAGTTAATGAGGATGGAGGGAGAGCTGAGGGACCGTCGGTGCTGGAGACACGTCGGGACTGTATTTCAGTCGGCTGAAGGGGCGGCGCCGGTACGGGACGGTCGACGAGGAGCTCCCAGCTTGCAGTGCAGTCGGTCGGAGAAGCGTCGGGGCTGTATTGCAGTCGCTCAGAGAGCGGTGCGGTAGCGGTGCGGTCGAAGAGAGGGGTCCCGTAGTTTGGTGCAGTCGGAGGAGGGATATATACGATAAGGGATATCAATATATTTTGGTCGGCTGCCGGTCGGATGGGTGGCGCCGGTACGGGACGGCCGGGGAGAGGAGCCTCCAGTCAGAGGAAGAGGTGTTGGTGGTAGACCCGTGCACCAGCCGATATGGTCGGGATGAAAAGGGCGGGGAGCTGGCGCTTCTGTCTGGCGGTTCTGCTCGTCTCTGGATTCATCTCAGCAGCATCAGACTCGTCACTGGAACCAATCTATATCGGTGAGCAAACCAAACTGGTGAATGAAAATAGATCCAACTCTTCACACTGAAAATTTAATCATTCTACTTTTATTATTCGTTAATTATATTGCATGCGTATGTAATATTGATATCGACGATATCGTGCACATGTAGGCATTCTGTTCCACTTCACAAACTTATGATGGAAATGTGGAAGCTTGTGAAAAGTGTAAAAAAAAAACAGATATTGGAGCAATCATATCCTTTCAAAGATAATTGACGGCTCAGATGATAGCAGGTAGGTGATAAACAGATCATGGATTCGTTCAGCGAAGCGGCATTTACTCTGTCTGATAATTGCGAGCCATTCGCCAAGCAAAATGATTCGGCTTCACTTTACCGACCTAAGTTGACACACTCGTCGTTAAATTCATGTGTGGTATTTTTCTGAAAGTGAAAGAGTGAGAAGAATTGTATAGATTTTTACGTTTTATAGCCGCTGTGAATCGGTTTTATCTATCAAGACTCTAGTAATGGACGTTTTACAACAATATTCAATTTCAAACAAGGTTCAATCAAACCCTTTCTTTTCTAACAATCCGCAATAAATAACCACAATCCTGTCTTGTCTCGCTGCTGGCCAACTATCGCGACATAGAGCCCTGTTCTTCATGCATGGCCGACTTGCTCTACTCTCAAACCGGTGTGCTGCCAAGGCCCGGGCTACCGCGCTCCAACCGCGCTCGCCGCTGCCAAAAAACGTCCTGACAATGGCAAACAGGCGATCGCGCCTGCAATAACTCCCGGATGGGCATATAGCGCGTGCGGATCCACGAGGAATTACGAGAGCTACGACTGATCAAATCGGGAAGATGATATCAGAATTGGAATGATTCGGATTGAAGTGCAGCTCAGAATATAGTAACGTAGCACAGAAACATGGAAGCTGTGCGCCTAGCAGCGAGTTGGTCTGCTTTGGTTCGCTTAAGTCGGTTTATTTTTCTCTTTTTCAGTCGGTCTATTTTGGTCCGTTCTGTTCCGTTTCAGTCGGTCTGTTGTGCTCCGCGTCGATCTGCTTCAGCCCTTGTCTTATAATCCATCTTGGCCCATTTCAGTCTGTCGATTTTGGTCCGTTTTAGTCAGTCTGTTTTGGTCCGGTTGGGTCCGTTACAGTTGGTCCGTTTTGGTGTGCTTTCGTCGGTCCGTTTCATTCGGTTTGTTGAAGTCCGTCTCAGTTGGTTCATTCTGGTCCGTCTCAGTCGGTCCGTTTTTGGTCTGTTTTGGTCTATTTCGGTCCGTTTCGGTTCATTTTCGTTGGCCCGTCAGTGGTATCGGTCCGCTTCAGTCAGTTCATTCCTGTCCATTCCCGTTGGTCTGTTTCAGTCCATTCTAGTCTGTCTGGTTGTGGTCTGTCGTGGTTCGTTTCAGCCGGTCCATTTCTGTCCGTTCCAGTCGGTGTGTTGTGGTCCCTTTGGTTCGTTTCAGTCGGTCCATTTCTGTCCCTTCCAGTCAGTCTGTTTTGGTCAATTCCAGCCGGTGTGTTGTGTTCCGTTTGATCCGTTTCAGTCGGCCTGTTGTGGTCCGTTTATCAGTCGGTCTGTCTGGTTGTGGTCTGTCGTGGTTTGTTTCAGTCGGCCCGTCTCTGTCCTTTCCAGTCGGTCTGTTCGGTGAGGGCGAGCAGCGGCAGGAGGCGGGCTTTCTGCAGGCTGTGCGCACGGTCAACTGTGACGAGCGGCTGCTACCGGGCCGACAGCTGAGAGGGCTGGTGCAGCGCGCTCTGCCTCTCAACAGCAGTTTCCAGGTCACTCGGCGAGGTATGTCGGTCCTCCCTGCTACAGAGATTCATTGCGACGACGGAATATTTTGAAAAGTTATCCTGTTATATCAGTTGTGTTCGTTGCAGTGTATTCCACCGGTGTACAGCACTCGTCCGCTGCAGTGCATTTCGCTGGTTCACTGCAGTATCGTTCATTGCAGTGCGCTCCGCTGGTTCACGGCGGCCATCTGTTACAGTGTGCTCAGCCGTGGAGCGCGGGGTGGCGGCTGTGATCGGCCCCCAGTCGCCCGCCGCCGCCGCTCACGTTCAGAGTCTCTGCGACGCACTGGAGCTGCCCCATCTGGGGACCACCTGGGACCACCGGCCCGGACGGGAGGACTACTCAATCAACCTGCACCCCGACACCAGGACGCTCAGCAAGGTCAGCTTCCGAAGAATGACAGTGCAATTAAAGACGCATTGATCATCCGTCCGCCTGAACCATGAGTCAACAAAAATGTATTTACCATCAGTGCGTTTTCCCGCCATTCAATATCGCATATCGGAGAAAGAAATAACATTCAGCCGTCACATTCGCGATCTCCTTTGAGCGATTTATCTACCGATGAATTCCCTACGACCACTCCGATGACAGATTGGTTTGTTATTACACAATTTCCCGAGTCACTACCCTTCTCAGGCGTGCGCTCCCTGGCCCAGGAGTTTAAAACACTCTTTGATATCCACCGTTCCGTTCCGTACGCCAGTATATTTCCGTTCACCGCACATGTTGTTGTCGTCGTCGTTAATCTCCAGTTCCGTTCCTCATCTGAACAAAAGCGGCCGCTGACCTTTTAGTTCGCTCCGTGCCTAGATGTTCGTGTCATTTATCCGTCGTTCGGCTCCCCAGGCATAAGTGGCCATTGGCTTGTCGTCCCATTCCTTTTCCCAGGCGCAAGTGTCCACTGTCCTGTCATTCCGTTCCTTTCCTCAGATATATTGTCGTTTGTTCGTTGTTCCGCTCCCCAGGCGTACGTGGCCCTGATCCGCCGCTGGCACTGGTCCGAGTTCAGCGTGCTCTATGAGGATGCCGCCGGCCTGGCGCGTCTCCAGGAGGTGCTGCGGACCTCCACGCCGGCCGAGTTCAGCATCTCCATCTACCAGCTACCCCTCCACTCAGGCGACTTCAGGTCAGGGCGCCCGTCTAACGGGTGACAGCTGTCTTGTTCACATGGAAGCTGCATGTAGTAAGAAGATAACACGCACGCAACCAGTAATGCACGGTAAAAGCAAAAGATAATCTTTCTTTGTCAATAGTACATAATTTTTGACCCGTGGGTATTGGGTTGGTCTGTGTCGATTTGGTTGATAGATATCCGTTTCGTTCGATTGCTTTTTGACGGCCAAGCATTTTGTAAGAAAACAAAAAGATACATCGCATCGAGGTGCCCGTGTCGTATTATCATGCGTTCTACTTTAGAATGATTCGAAAACTGGCGCGAAGTCTTTTGAGGGCCATCGATGAATTTCGCTAAAAATGACAATGTAATGGTTTGGAACATTTACATTTTTAAGGATACTGTTGCTAATCATGCAAAAATGAAGAGTGAATATTGGACAGAATTGAATGCTCCATCCAATGGTACCATATTCAATTGCCAAAGGTATCAGGTTATGCAGCAAACCCCGTGTGGTTAATAAAGTGGCACAAAATTGACAAACACCATTTTCTCCTGTGATTTGCACCACCTTGATTTGGATCAATCAGCTTTTCACAATTTTTATATGAGAGGCGGTACCTTTCTCTTGCAAATAGGCGTTGTTTCAACTCGCTCCATTTAACGGTCACCTAAAAATAAAATTAATTCCAAAATCCCTCAAAAACCGCAATTTTTCAAATAAAAGTGCCCTCCACGGTGCACGTGGCGCGTGCCATCCTCTGTATTGCACACCATTCAATAGCCCGTTCAATTCTGTACACGATGCTGTTTTCCACGTGCCGGTCGGACCCCTGGTCACCAAGATATTGCACGGGGACTGGACCCCTGTCGGCCAAAATTAGCCGTTTTCGCCCGATTTCGCACGCCGATTTATACATGTAAAGTCTATGACGCGAATTTGCACTTTTTGGGCACGCGCCACGCGCTCACTACCAATCCGATCGAGCTGAGACCCCTCAAAGGCACGTCGCGCATCCTTGATCTATAAGTTGTGCAAATTTCACCGGGCTAGGTGCAACGGTCTGGCCTGTAGTCCACGCAAAGCACCACCAAGTCGGGACCTCGGTAACGGACAGACGCACCCTCCTCGAATAGTAAGTTAGATGACGCATGATTCTGGATATTCACTGATTTGCCTTTCCCTGCAGGCCCTTACTGCAGCGCATTAAGAAGACTGGTACCACGAAGCTGGTGGTGGACTGCCGGCTCTCCATGATCCGTCCTCTTCTTCAGCAGGCCCAGGAGCTGGGCATGATGAACCAGTACTTCAGTTACTTACTCACATCATTGGTGAGCCTGCAGAGCACGGCAGTAACACGCCAGCGATATAAAGGCGCTGCAGTAGCCTCAACAGCATCGACAGTAACAAGACCAATCGAACAAAGCTCGCATTTGTTCGTATTTCACGAACCGTTCAAAGTTTTTATTCTCTACGTTACAGACGCACCGTGTGTTGTGCGGTACAGCATATCTCACAGGAATCGTGCTGTGCGGTACAGTCTATCTTACAGGCGGTGTGTTTTGCGGAACAGTCTACCTCCCAGGCATTCAGCGTGTTACAGGTACAATTTCACACTCTCACAGGCCCGCTCATTGTGTTATGCGGTATAATCTGTCACACAGCGTGTTGTGCGGTACAGTCTATCTCACAGGCAGTGTTGAGCGGTACCGTCTATCTCACAGGCAGTGTTGAGAGGTACAGTCTAGCTCACAGGCAGTGTGTTGAGCGGTACAGTCTAGCTCACAGGCATCCAGTGTGATAGAGGGTAACTGCATCACAGGCACTCATTGTGTTATGCGGTATAGTCTGTTACACAGCGTGTTGTGCGGTACAGTCTTTCTCACAGGCGATGTGTTATGCGGTACAGTCTAACTCACAGAAAATGTGTTGTGCGGTGCAGCCTAGAGTAAAGGCACTCTGCGTGTTGTGCGGTACAGTATAACTGTCAGTGTGCTGTGCAGTACAGTCTTCCTCATAAGCAATCAGTGTGTTGTTCGGTGCAGTCTGACTCTAAACTTCGGTAGTTATCCGACTCAAGCCAACTGAACCTTTATAGGGTGCAATCTTATAGCGTTTTCTGTGCCGATTTTGTGAACACAATAATCATTAATTGTGCTTTGTCCACAGAACGTGCATACCATTGATATGGATGAGTTTAAGAGCACCGGAACAAATGTGACCGCCTTGCACCTTGTGAACCAGGAACCATGGACTACTCATGACGTCACAGGCCAATTGGCGCCACCCCAAACGTTACAGGTGAGTCAAAGGCTCATGATTAAGGCAGTCTTAACTTAGTCAGTACTTTATATGTGTGCTCCCAATTGTGAGCGGCCTTTTATTGCGCTATATCCCAGAACGCCCCCAGTCGGTGTGAGCCGCCCTCTATGTCCCGGAACCGCACCGTCCGGTGGCAGCCGCCCCCTGTTGGCCGGCGCTGCACGGCTCGTTGGCTGTTGGTGAGAGGACGCCCCGGGAGAGCTTTGTCGGCTGATGAGCTGGTGATTTGACCCAGTGCGCACTTTTGTGTAGGCTCCGAATTTAACAAAATTGCTTAGATGTCCCGAGAGAGCTAGCACACGATAAAGCCCTTTAGCCATTTTACCGACCTATAAATTTAACCCGGCGGCCGCTGGGCCTCCGCGCCACCCGCCGGCCGCTGGGGGGGGGGGGGGCATATAGTTGCCCCCCCCTTTACTTCTGCGACGATATCGTCGCAACGCGAAGAGATAGAGAAGCGAAACTTTGCACACATCTTCCGGAATACCTAGCCAAGGTTGTGTCCAAATTTGGTGTCGATTCCATTTGAAATGACGTCACAGTGACGTCATAAGTGAAATTATAGATTTCCGACTCTCATATTCCTCACGATACATCAGATATATGGGACCGAATATAGAGGGTCGATTATTGGTCAGAAACTAGATGGAAGTGTATAACTATATAACTATAACTAACTAACTATAGTTAGATGTTTTAGGATGACAGCAGGTGCTGTCTAGCTCATTTACAGTTGAGTTTCATGCTCAGCGTCATCAGAAACGGTCCATATCGGAAAACGACAAAACTTTATGACGTCACTGTGACGTCATCTTAGGTGCTACAACCACCAAACTTTCCTCAAACATTGCCTAGGTATTCATTTGAAGCTATGCCAAGTTTCACGTTCGTAGCTCACCAGATTTCGGAGATATTTTACAAAACGTAAAGGGGGGCAACTTTATGCCTCCCCCCACTCCCCAGCGGCTGGTGGGTTAAAGAAGTTGTAGCTTGTTTAAAACATGAAACACTAGATATGTATTGGTCTCGATAACAGTTTTCATTAAAACGCCCACGCCCTCATTTTCAGAATGAATCATATTATGAGACCCAGCACGTGAACCCGTCAAAAATGCTGGTGAGTTTTTACATCTCCTAATTGTTTTATCGATAACGGGTTGGCATCAACTATAAAAGCCGCAATGCCAAGTAGAACATACCTACCAATGAAGTGCCTTTCAAATGCCAGCAGAGCATACCATATTCGCTATAGTTGAGTCATGTATGTGACGTGAAATAGATAGTCGTGTCATATGCCTGTTGACTCGTGTCCCGCTGGTGTTTGACGCCGTGTCCCGCTGGTGTTTGACGCCGTGTCCCGCTGGTTTTTGACGCCGTGTCCCGCTGGTTTTTGACGCCGTGTCCCGCTGGTGTTTGACGCCATGTCCCGCTGGTGTTTGACGCCGTGTCCCGCTGGTTTTTGACGCCGTGTCCCGCTGGTTTTTGACGCCATGTCCCGCTGGTGTTTGACGCCGTGTCCCGCTGGTTTTTGACGCCGTGTCCCGCTGGTTTTTGACGCCGTGTCCCGCTGGTTTTTGACGCCGTGTCCCGCTGGTGTTTGACGCCGTGTCCCGCTGGTTTTTGACGCCGTGTCCCGCTGGTGTTTGACGCCGTGTCCCGCTGGTTTTTGACGCCGTGTCCCGCTGGTTTTTGACGCCGTGTCCCGCTGGTTTTTGACGCCGTGTCCGGCAGACGGAGGCGGCGCTGATGTTTGACGCCGTGCTAGTGCTGGCTCGTGCGCTGCGTCAGCTCGGCTCGGCGCTGCGCGTGCGGCCTCTGAGCTGTGACCGGGAGAAGGGCTGGCAGCAAGGAACCTCGCTGGTCAACTACCTCAGACTGGTCAGTACGTGAGCCAGCGTCCGACGATCACATTTCATCTATGGCAGTAGGTGTGATCGTGAATGAGACATCCTTCTGGTGGCGCTGAATGTGATTGTGACTGACAGCTTTAACGAGGCTTATTGTGCCGGTGGTTTGTCGTATCAATTTTCTCCGCTCCGGTGCAGCTTGACCCTGCCCATGTAAGTACTTACTGACCCGTAAAAACTGTCTCTATTTTGTGTCAGGTGCGTCACACGGGTCTATCGGGACCGATCCAATTCGACCGGAGTGGTCGGCGCACCAACTTCACGCTCTCCATCAGCGAGCTGTCGGAGGGGGGACTGACCCCCGTGGGCCACTGGACCCCCGCCGGAGGAGTTCGGTACTCCATAGGGGACAGGATGACGGAGATCGAGCGCAGTCTGCGCAACAAGACGCTGGTCGTCATCACCACTGTGGTCAGTCCGGAATCGTGCCTTGTTCGGGCGGTCGCCCTTGGTTTCGATTTGACCGGGACTTGAAACAGAAAACCGTTTTCTTTTCATGGCTGTCCTTCATTTATTTATTATTATAAGTAATTTTTATGAAGGATGTTCTGAGCTTCTGATGTGTCTAATGTAACGATGTGCCGAAAGTGTGTTGTGTTTATGGATCGAATGCAGCTTTTGTGTCTGACGTGTCGTCCGTCCTCAGAACGAGCCGTACGTGATGCTGGTGAACGAGTCGGACCCGTCGCTCACCGGCAACGCTCGCTTCGAGGGTTTCTGCATCGACCTGGTGAACGCCATCGCCGAGCTGCGCCACTTCCGCGTGCGCTTCGTCGAGTGCGGCGGCTACGGCGGCATCGACCCGGTGACCGGCGAGGCCAGCGGCATGGTCAACGAGCTCATGGAACAGGTCCGTGTCGAGCTGCGCTGAGCGGGCGCTGCCTCTATGTCTGTGTGGGGTCCGTATCAAAGCGTCCAAAACCGCAGCACCCAAAGTACGCAACATCCAAAACCGCAGCGTCCAAAGTACGCAACGTCCAAAATACGTCAAAAATCGGGTTTATAGGGGGCATTCACAAAGTCCAAAACCGAAACATCCAAAACCGCAACGTCCAAAAACGTATCATCCAAAAACGCAACATCCAAAGACGCAACATCCAAAGTACGTAACCTCCAAAACCACAACGTCCAAGACCACGACATCCAAGGCACGCAACATCCAAAACCAACCTAACCTAACCTAACCTAACCTAACCTAACCAAACCTAACCTACTGATTTTTGCCTATCCCTAACCCAACCTAACCTAACCTAACCTAACCTAACCTACTGATTTTTGCCTACCGGGGATAAGGAAACCCAACCTAACCTAACCTAACCTAACCTAACCTAACCTACTGATTTATGCCTACCGGGGATAAGGAAACCTAACCTAACCTAACCTAGCCTAACCTAACCTAACGGTTTTGGATGTTGCGTACTTTGGATGTTGCGTACTCTGGATGTTGCGTACTTTGGATGATGCGTCCTTGGATGTTGCGTTTTTGGATGATACGTTTTGGATGTTGCGGTTTTGGATGTTTCGGTTTTGGACGTTGTGAATGCTCCCTATATACCCGATTTTGGACGTATTTTGGACGTTGCGTACTTTGGACGCTGCGGTTTTGGATGTTGCGTACTTTGGATGCTGCGGTTTTGGACGCTTTGATGGTCCCCCGTCTGTGTGTCCCTCTGTCCCTCTGTCCGTCTGGCACGTCTTTCTTCCTCTCTCTCTCTCTCTCTCTCTCTCTCTCTCTCTCTCTCTCTCTCTCTCTCTCTCTCTCTCTCTCTCTCTCTCTCTCTCTCTCTCTCTCTCTCTCTCTCTCTCTCTCTCTCTCTCTCTCTCTCTCTCTCTCTCTCTCTCTCTCTCTCTCTCTCTCTCTCTCTCTCTCTCTCTCTCTCTCTCTCTCTCTCTCCACTCTCCTCTCCTCTCTCCTCTTCTCTCTCTCTCTCTCTCTCTCTCTCTCTCTCTCTCTCTCTCTCTCTCTCTCTCTCTCTCTCTCTCTCTCTCTCTCTCTCTCTCTCTCTCTCTTTCTCTCTCATCTTTTGCCCGTATTATTTGATTATGTTGTTCTTGCTCCTGTTAATGTTCTCTTATTGTTGGTTGACTGATGTTGCCGGCACAGAACGGATGTCAATAGCTTGCACAAAGAAGTTATAAACGCTTCGTTTGCCTTCATCGTTTCCCTTTCGCAGAAAGCTGACATGGCCGTAACCGATCTCACCATTACTTACGAAAGGGAACAAGTGGTTGATTTCACAATGCCTTGGATGAATTTAGGTAGGTGCCGTATTTTCTTTTTGCCCGAACGAATCAGCTTTATTTGTTGACATCAATGAATTTGAAGCTATACTTGAAGCCCTCGATTGCAGTGGCCACAGGTTACAGAGGCGGATCCAGCTCAGAGTTTTTTTTTTGGGGGGGGGGGCAAACCATAACAATTTATCGATTCTTTCCATGCATCGTCCATAGGCGTAATGTTAAAACTATGCCGTTTGGGGGGGGGGGGCAAATGCCCATTTTGCCCCCCTGGATCCGCCACTGACAGGTTATTAGGCTTTCGATTTTATTGAGTTCATGTAGACCATTTCAAGCAATTTATTCACGTTTCAAGGAATTAATGATGATCTTTGTTTGTTGGCTAGCGGTTTCATACCTTGGTGCCTATTTGGTTACCAGTTTTTATTGAAACATTTCTCAATTGTCGCAGGTATCGGCATTTTGTACACGTCACCCCAGAAGGAACCACCGCAGGTAAACCCGGACGGGACTGATTAAATAACTTATTTAACCGGTATCATCGACCTCTGCACACCTGACCTCTGACCTGTTGCACAGGCCTATATGGCCAATGCCATGCCGGTATCTATAAAACAAAGCACGAACACTGGACGATGTGATGCATTTCTGGATTTTTCACCTCTAAGAAGTGCATAAGCGCTCAGCAATCCGCGGCCTTTTCTGTCACTATGCTGATGATGTATTTCTTTATTTGTATATGTGCATGTACAGCGCAAATTTTACCGCTATTTTCATCGGTGCGTTTCGTTTTCAGCTGTTCTCGTTTTTGGCGCCTCTGTCACTGGAAGTTTGGCTCTACATGGCCGCCGCCTATCTGGGCGTGTCCGTGCTACTGTTCGTCGTAGCCAGGTGAGGGGCCACACAGCGAGAGGTGACAACTGACAGCCGCCCAGACAAATTAACGGTGACTTAGTCAAGTAGATGATCTTCCAGCGAGAGGTGACAACACCAAGACAGCTAACGGTCACATGGCCAGGTGAACGGTCACCCAGACATGTGAACGGTCACCCAGACATGTGAACGGTCATCCAGACATGTGAACGGTCATCCAGACATGTGAACGGTCATCCAGACATGTGAACGTCGCCCATCGTTGGAGCGCTGGAACTTACATCGCTCCGGGACTGGATCTCCTTGACAGCTTGGTCCATGCGATAAAAATACAGTCATCGTGATAGCACCACAGTCATTTGGTTGTCACGGTTTATGCCCTGTCAAACAGCCCGCTGGTTGGCCGACAGGTTCATTTCGTACGAGTACCCCCTTGCACCCGTCGGCAGGTTCAGTCAGTCACCCCTGCACACCCATATCGCAGGTTCAGTCCATACGAGTGGGACGTTCCCAACCCGTGTCGGCAAGTTCAGTCACCCCTCTCCGTACCGCAGGTTCAGTCCGTACGAGTGGGACGTTCCCCACCCGTGTCGGGACCAACAGGACGTGCTGGAGAACCAGTTCAGCTTGGCCAACTCTCTCTGGTTCACCATCGGCTCGCTGATGCAGCAGGGATCCGAGATCGCCCCAAAGTGAGACCTGCACCTCACTGCACCTTTGCGTTGCACGACTGTTTCTCGTCAGAAACTACTTACATTTTTTTTTTTTCGTCATCCTTCCAACGGGCCGATATGCGTTATACATAATATAACGCTTAATTAATATAGCATTGGGTGCTGCTAAACATCACCAACGCTGACTGATTTATGGACAGTATAACGTATAAGAATAGAAAATAAGCGTAATGTGCCTTCCTTTGCCACATTTGCCCAGATTTCCTTTCACGTGTCCGGCTATTTTCGCAGTCGGCCTGCGTACGTTTGTCAAATTAGAGCCGATAGACTCCCTGTTTCCGCCGTTCACAGGGCGCTCTCCACCCGGATGATCGCCGGTCTGTGGTGGTTCTTCACTCTGATTATGGTCAGTGGATACGACTGAATCATCGTATTGCCGCAGTTGCTAGTTGCGTACCTAACTAGTTGCACATTCGCATGCGTGCACTCCTCGACGAGATGGGACTTCTAAAATGGCTCCTCAGTGCCACAAGTAGGTAATCATCACGATACAAATAACTAAGGTTCACGAAAAACTCTCGACCTTATTGCTTGTCGGAACATGACCACCGTCCCCCCGTCCTTTCAGGCTGACGTCCCCACATGGCTATTTGTGTCCGTCTCCCCAGATATCGTCCTATACGGCCAACCTGGCCGCCTTCCTCACCGTCGAGCGGATGGTGTCGCCGATCGAGAGCGCGGAGGACCTCTCCAAACAGACCGAGATCAAATACGGAGCCCTCGTGTCCGGGTCCACTAAAAATTTCTTCCGGTGAGCAGCTCGGTGAACGCATGAGATCTATAGATAAATTAAGCATGAGCTAATATCGTTCAATTAGGCATTTGATTTTGAGGTCTATAGGTATTGAATTTATGTTGACTGCATATTCTGCATAGTTATTCAAACCATGAGATGATATCCTTAAGAGACCGTCAATCGACCAACGTCGATCTGTTGCCATTCGGTGCGTGCAGCGACTCCAAGATCGCCGCGTACCAGCGCATGTGGGCGTTCATGAAATCGGCGCGTCCGTCCGTGTTCATCAACAAGTCGTCGGAGGGCGTGGAGCGGGTCAAACGCTCCAACGGCCTGTACGCCTACCTGATGGAGTCGCCGCAGCTCGAGTACGTGTTGGAGCGGAACTGCGAGCTGCAGCAGGTCGGCGGCCTGCTCGACACCAAGAGCTACGGCATCGCCCTACCGCCCGGTGCGTCCAATCTCAGTGAATCTCTAATCTATCCGCCCCAAACGAAATGTTTTACCGGCCCGTGTGATTATATGCATTTTCATTATTGTGAGTTTCATTCAATTCATTTCATTTTCATTCATTTCATTTCATTCAAGTGAGTGTTGTTATTCACATGCTTTGCTATCGAAAGTAAGCATAAATTTTTAAGTTCAGCTTGCAATCGTAATATTACCTACAAGTATACACATATATTGCCTTTAAAATGTGTACATTCTACCACATTTATTCTTCTGCGTTTCAGGTTCACCGTATACGTCGTCAATCAGCAACGCAATTTTAATTCTGCAAGAAAATGGAACCCTACATGCGCTGAAAACCAAATGGTGGAAGGAAAGGAAAGGCGGTGGAATGTGCAAGGTAGGAAGAGCTGATGTTGTGCGACAGGACATGCCAGTAAACACGATTAGTTTTGTAGGCTATGCGCATTCCTTTATGTATGTTTTCAGAGTAATTTCTATGGCCTCGTTCCTTTCGCTGCAGCGGCGCGCCAAGAAGAGTCCGTCGTCTGCCAGCGAGCTGGGCCTGGACCAGGTGGGTGGCGTGTTCGTGGTGCTGCTGGCCGGCATGGCGGCCGCCTGCGCCGTGGCCATCGCAGAGTTCGCCTGGAGGGCGCGCCGCCTGGACCCCACCACCCAGGTGAGGGCTTTAAACCGGAAAATAGCGACTGACTTTGCTTTTCACAAGGGAAGCGAACGTTAGGTACTAAACGTAGAAAGGCACTTACAAATTACAATGCAAAAGTCATGAATATTCACGGAAATGTAATGCAACCAACACGTTCAGCGCATTTTCGTGCCTCCGCACTCCGCAGGTATCCCTGCTGGGAGAAATGGCTCGCGAACTCCAGTTTATGCTGCGAAGTCGGAGCTCCACCAAACCAGCGCGTCACCGACGCCCCCACATCATACTGACGTCCACCGACCTCAGTGTGCCGTCACCATCCACATCGTGACGTCGCAGGCGTCCACACATCATACTGACGGCAGCCGACTTCGGTGTGCCGCCAACATCTACATCATGACGTCATAAGTCGCCCCAGCGTCACACTGATGTCAGCCGACCTCAGTGTGGCGTCACCATCTCCATCAGGACATCCTGCTGCCTGCTCCTAGACGCCAGACAGACAGCTCTGTTCTTGCTGAAGAAGCTTAGAATCCAGATACACTTAAAAATCTGTCATTATCCGACACTTCATACTGCACTTAAAGTAGTAGCGTAGGGGATACGTCATGCGTGACCTACCAGTATTTAGGCATTTGTAATTTGAGGTTGCCAATTGTCAGATGCAGATAAGTAACAAATGGACAAGGTGGATTGGTATGTTATTTACGTCCTACAGAGTGAACGGTCAGAAAGTCGAGCAACTTCAGTATGGCTGATTTCATTGTGTAGCAATGGACGTGCTTTTCGTTATGTAGCCTGTTGTCGTGGTCGACGTGAATCATGAAAACTGATCAGCTGCGACGTGATGTTAATCTAAACACATGCAAAATACATATTCACTTAACCAAATACAAAGGGGGACTTAACTTTGTAATAAACGTAAACGAAGGTAAATTACAATTAACATTGAAATGTATGCCGGCATTGAACTGACCTGCAGCAATACGAATGTTATCGCTAAAGGAGTGGAGTCATGCTTTGTTGCCTGAGCTAAGCATCATTTTTATGTTTCGACACGACCGGGCAAGAAGGTCATGGCATTTGTTTTACTCAGTCTTATGGTCAGGCACATGGTACGCAAAATCACAAATGCTAGTTGCTTGGGCACGCTGTGACAGTTCATGCACTGCAATATATAATCGCTTTTTGGCGAAGAGGAGGCACATATCTACTTAAAACAGACGGCTGGTGTCTGTGTCACGGTGAGTCGCGCCCGTTCACCGTTCAGGGACACTGGACAGAGTCTCCGTCGTGGCAGCAGTGGTATTCGGGCGCACGGTCTCGCGCGGGTCGGTCGTGCCGTCTCGCCTCCCTCAGAACCTGCGCAGTGCGCACAGACACTGCCGTGGGTCGGTCCGTGGCCGGGTCGGTCGTGCCGTCTCCTCTCCGTCAGAGACAGCACAGAGAACCGTGGGCCAGTCGCGTCACTGTCAGAGTTGCACAGACAGCCTTGTGTCGCCGCTAGCTGAGGGTGCCGGGATGGGGCTGCATACCGTCCAATTGTTGACAGTCGCCGTCTGGAACGTCGCTCTACCGGCGCTGATTACGGGAATCGTCCTCCTTCTGATGTGAGTAACTAAACGTTTATGTTTTTTTTTAACAATTTTTCATAAACAAATGGTTCACTGGTTGCTTTGAGTACCTAGTTATTTATTAAAGTAAATTTTATAGGGCATATACCGTTAAAATAAGTGATTAAAAAGATGCGTAAATGCCTATTATTGATCAAACATTGAGAAAAGAAGTGCGTTACATAGAGGAAACGAGAAGTGATGTCCGTTTTAACGATGCCCATAAATCGACTCGAGCAAGGCCCTGGCCTATATACCGAGCACGTAAAAGGTTTTACGCGGTTACCCAAACGCGGTTCTTAGGTCAATTACCCAACAGTCGCGCTAAACTGTTTATTCAAATTATTATTCAAAGTGACGTTTCATGGTTCAGTTGTAATGACTCCACGGGCGAGAAACAGGGGTTAGGGTCTGGACCACCGCGCCGGTCATGGTTTATTTTACGACAGTGAAAGTAACGCAAAAACCGAACGGCTTTTACAAAGTTTTAGTAACGTTTTCTAGAAAAGTTCTAAATGAGGTTGTAAGTGTCAAGTGGTTGCGATCAATTTTCATATGGACCTTTATATTGCATATCCAGAACATGAGTGACGAGACATAATAAAATGCTATGGCATCACCCACCCTGATGAAGTGACTCGCCCGTCTTTTTTTTTGCGGCCAGCCGGCGATGGCAGCGGTTCCGGGTGCTGCAGGGTCTGGGGTACCGGGTGCCGCCGCACAGCTTCCTGTACGGCCACGCCGACCGGCTGCTGGGCCGCTCCGGCCTGGACGAGGCCCGCCGGCTGCTGGCAGAGTACGGCGTGCGCTACGGCCGGCGCGGCGCCACCATGGCCGTCTACGTGGGCGCCACGCCGCACCTCTGGACCACCGACCCGGACCTGATCCACGAGCTGTGCGTGCGCCGCGCTGACCAGTTCCCCGACCGGCCGGCCAACGCCAGCCCGCTGACCGACGAGCTCCAGCAGACGCTGCTCACGCTGAAGGGGGCGCGCTGGCGGCGCGTGCGCTCCGTGCTCAGCCCGGCTTTCACGGCGGCCAAGCTGCGCGGCATGGCACCGCTGATGGCCGACGCGACCGGCACCTTCCTGCAGTTGGTGGAGGAGGACCGGGCGGCCGGCCGCGCCTCCGACTTCTACTCGGGCTTCCAGCAGCTGACGCTGGAGGTGATCTGCCGCGCGGCGCTGGCCATGGACGTGCGCTGCCAGCGCGACACGCGCCACCCGCTGGTGCAGACGGTCAGCGCGCTGGTGGCCGGCGTGCCGCTGGTGGCCCGGCTGCGCCAGCTGCAGCCGCTCACCGGCCTGGTGCGGCCGCTGCTGCGCGCGCTCGGCGCCACCGGCCGGCTGGTGCGCCACAATGAGACGATGGCCGCCTGGCTGCGCGGTGTGGTGGCGCACCGGGAGGCGGCGGCCGCCGGCCCGGAGACGGCGCTGCCCAAGGACGTGCTGCAGCTGCTGCTGGACGCGCGCCGGTCCTCCGCCGACCGAGAGCCGCTCTCGGAGGACGAGCTCATCTCCAACGCCTTCATCTTCGTGCTGGCCGGCTACGAGACGACGCGGACGGCGCTGTCGTTTACCTCTTACCTGCTGGCTGCCCACCCGGCGGTGCAGCAGCGGCTGGCGGCCGAGGTAACCGAGCAGCTGACTGCCGGGCCGGACGGTGAGCTCGACTGTGAGCAGGTGCTGTCGCTGCCCTACCTGGAGCAGGTGGTGCAGGAGTCGCTGCGCCTGTTCCCGCCCATCCCGGCCATGTTCGGCCGCCGCGTGGCCCGGCCGGCCGAGGTGGGCGGCGTGCACGTTCCGGCCGGCGCCGTGGTGAGTGTGTCCGTGTTCTGCCTGCACCGCGACCCGGAGCTGTGGCCGGAGCCGGAGCGGTTCGACCCGGAGCGGTTCAGCGCCGCCGGCCGCGCCCGGCAGCAGCCCGGCGCGCACCTGCCGTTCGGGCTCGGGCCGCGCCACTGCATCGGCAGCCGGTTCGCGCTGCTGCAGATGAAGCTGGTGCTGTGCCACCTGCTGCGCAGGTACCGGCTGCTGCCGCCCCTGGAGCCGCTGGAGCCCGTGCTGGCGGCGCCCTCCCTGGCGCCTGCCTCCGGCAAAATCGAGCTGCGCGTCGAACCCCGGTAGTGATCGCCAGGACGTGACTGCACGGGAGCGGGACCATAACCATAAATGGGCGTGTCGTAGAGGATACAATCTTAAATCACTGTATAGGGACGAGGGTTGCACGTTCATGTTTATCTGTGTATGTAACCAGTGTTAAGGGCAGACTTGCAAATACACGAAACAAATACAAATATACGACGGTTTATGCCTTCCGCACGCGACTGTCAGACGTGGTGAGGATCACGAACTTAGGCTGTCACCACTCCCAGGCAGCAGTATCCTATCGAGGCGGCCAGGCACACCTGAGGACCGTGTTCGGGCCGTCCGATTTCGATTCGACCCACTCCGTCGCCCGCGGTACCGGATGTTTGGATGCCGCACACCGGCCCGACGGCAGCGATCGTCCCTGCGAGCACGCGACCGCCGCCGGAGAGACCTTCATTCACCGTTTTTGTGCGCGTGCTGCGGGAGCACAGCGTGCACTTCCGAGGCCGCGGGCCCGTCATTGGTGTGCTGGAGAGCGTGAAAAACACGCAGTAGTGCGGTCAGGCATATAGGCGCACTCGCGACCCACTCACGACTTAACTATCTAAACGAGCTCGGGGACGACCCAGCTCATAGGAAAGGCGGGAAATTTGCATCGCATCACTTTGTACCAAGCTTGATACCTATAAGCACAAATTCCATTACCTATCGCCTGCGATCATGCTGATTGGTGGCTGGCGAGTGAAAGGCCAAGGAGAGATCCGTTCCAGGGCGAGAGAAAAGCCGTAAGTACAATAGGGGAGAGCGGGGCCAGTTGAACCACTTTTTATATATTGACATGCACAGCGAGATCTAGTTGGCATATCGAAAAATGCACAATGCCATGAAAAATATGCTCTTTTGGCTTTATTTTAAGATATGTAAAATTATGTTTCAAACATATTTTGCTGCCAAACGCATGCTTATAAAACAGCTCTACGCCCGTTTCAAATGACCCCGATGCGAGGGTCAATTGAACCAGCCTATGGGGTCAATTGCACCTATTCTTAACAATGGAATGTTTTCCTCTTTAAGGCCACTTTCTTAAGGAGATATTTTGTCCGGTTTACTTTTCCAAATGCTACATTCAATAGGTCGTTGGAAAGCTAAAAGTGCAAAGTTCCTCATAATAGGTGACATAAAGTACATAGACTATGGTAAAATGGGCGGATGAGGAAAATGAGAAATATCTCAGGCTATAGTGTGCTTTCAAGCAAAAGGCTGGAGAAAAAGGGGTCAAAAATTGAGCTCTATTAAACTACTATTTCAGTTTAAAAGCTCATTTCAAAGGTGGACTATTTCCTTTAATGTTTACAGCCCCTGAACAATAACCATTGCAAAGGTCACCGGGGTCCATTGAAACGGCCTGTGGCCCTGTTTCAACTGACCCTCAGAAAAGCGTTTCAATTGACCCCATCCGCTTCCGCCATCTCGCACGCGCCGTAAAGCACATGTCAAACGAGTTGGAGGGACGGCATCATGCTGAATGAAGGGCCAAATAAGGTGTTATTCCGGAGCTAGGAGTTCTTCTTTCAGCAAACAAAGGTATATGAGATATCACAAAATATTCATTAAAACGATTTCTCCCAAACGCCCCTCAAAAACACAAAAACAAGTGTCAAATCAAAATTACCGTCCGTTTGCCGCCCAAACGCCGTTGACAAAGGAAGTGGTCGAGCGCGGATGCGCAGTGGTGTCGGCAACGCCATATGTTGCATACTGTTGAAAATAAAGCCATGTTTCATCTGACCCCGTGTTTCAACTGGCCCCGCTCTCCCCTACCTACAAATCGTCAGCCTACCGGGTCCGGGACCGACCGCCGACCGGTATAGAGCTTCGGCTTGTCAGCTTCTTCTCCAGCGTACCTACATAAGAAAGACAGTGCAGCTGTTTAGGTGTGCCAATTCTGAAAAATGTGTTCGGCCAGACGATATCCCCAAATGTGTGGTATTTAGTTCTTACGCCGAAATGAAAAGCCCTTGTAATGTTATCATTTGCGACGGACCAAAAAATATGTACCAATAAAAGAAAAAGTGCTTCCAAATACTGATATGGTAGCAATTATATATGTGACAGTTCTCGCGCAGATATTACAAATTGCTACAAATCAGCTTGTATTAGGCAAGGTGTATTAGGCACTGATATTGATTCCAGGACAAATCTTCGTATGGCATTTCTTCGTCGCGCAATTCTTCGTCCGCATTTCTTCGTCCGCAAATCTTCGTCGGCGCATTTATTCGTGTCGCATTACTTCGTCTCGCATTTCTTCGTAGGTGCAAAAATTCGTAGCGCATTTCTTCGTATCCGCATTTCTTCGTCGGCGCATTTCTTCGTCAAGCATTTTTTCGTCCACGCATTTCTTCGTCTACGCAAATCTTCGTCCGCATTTCTTCGTCCACGCAAATCTTCGTCTGCGCAAATCTTCGTCCGCAAATCTTCGTCTCCGCAAATCTTCGTCCGCAAATCTTCGTCCGCATTTTTTCGTCCACGCATTTCTTCGTCTACGCAAATCTTCGTCCGCATTTCTTCGTTCACGCAAATCTTCGTCCCCGCAAATCTTCGTCCGCAAATCTTCGTCCGCAAATCTTCGTCCGCAAATTTTTTTCGTCCACGCATTTATTCGTCCAATCAAATCTTCGTCTGCAAATCTTCGTCCGCAAATCTTTGTCTGCGCTATCTTCGTCTCCGCAAACATTCGTCCACAAATGTGGTTCAATAAAACCATGAAGAAATATCAGACAGTCAAGTGAATGACGAATTTAATGCAAGGAATGGATAATCAAAACTTTTGAAGACAGGTAGATGAGGTCAGTCAGGTGAAGCTATTGTACGAGCCGACAATCGTAACATTCCTCATTTGTGTCCCGGACATTTTTTTGCGGTCGTTGAATGACAATATAATCTCTTGTACCCTCGCCGGCATAGGCGGCGGAACGGGGAGGGCACCGGGGCACCGTTCCCCTCTTTAATTTTGGCCCTTTAACAGTAGTCCTATGCCCTATGGGCGTTGCATGGAAAGCATATTGGACCAAAAGTCGGCAGTGCCGTGCCCCCCCCTTAATTGAAGATGTTCCGCCGCTACTGCCCGCCGGACCTATTTGTTTTCTACGGTACACGCCGGCCGAGGGGGCGGGTACGACCCCCCCCCCATCGCCGTTTCGCCACTGGTGGAGCTAGCGCGTCGCGGAAAAAAAACGAGCGTGTGCGCCGTTACGAGCCGCAGAGATTAATACCCGATTTTAAGGCCTTCTAGGTCAGCGGTCGGCATACGGCCCGCGGGCCGGATCCGGCCAGGTGGGTGACAGTTGGATCCGGCCCGCGACCAGCTGACGTCCGGCCCGCGGCTGGTATCAGCGACTTACATCGTGTTCCGGCCCGCGGTTCCTTCATAAATCGACTCCGATATAAAAGTGACTCAAATGTGCTTCGGCACAACAGTTCTTCCTTCGCACACTTCATGAGTTTATAAACACCATTTGCGGGTGTTTTTGTCTATTTCTACTTCTAGACAAAACTTGCAACGGTAAGATTTGGTCAGCAGCTTTTGCGCGCAGCATCAACGACTGCTGCAGCTGCGTGCACTTGGCGGCTTCACGTGGTCTACTCGCTTAACCTTCCAGGTGGTATGTGTGTGTGTGGGGGGGGGGAGCCGGGCCGGAACACGATGTAAGTCGCTGATACCAGCCGCGGGCCGGACGTCAGATGGTCGCGGGCCGGATCCAACCGTCACCCACCTGGCCGGATCCGGCCCGCGGGCCGTATGCCGACCCCTGACCTAGAAGGCCTTAAAATCGGGTATTAATCTCTGCGGCTCGTAACGGCGCACACGCTCGTTTTTTTCCGCGACGCGCTAGCTCCACCAGTGGCGAAACGGCGATGGGGGGGGGGGGTCGTACCCGCCCCCTCGGCCGGCGTGTACCTACCGTAGAAAACAAATAGGTCCGGCGGGCAGTAGCGGCGGAACATCTTCAATTAAGGGGGGGGGGGCACGGCACTGCCGACTTTTGGTCCAATATGCTTTCCATGCAACGCCCATAGGGCTACTGTTAAAAGGCCAAAATTAAAGAGGGGAACGGTGCCCCGGTGCCCTCCCCGTTCCGCCGCCTATGCCGGCGAGGGTACAAGAGATTATATTGTCGTTCAACGACCGCGAAAAAAAGGATGTCCGGGACACAAATGATATGGAATGTTACAATTGTCGGCTCCAAATACAATAGCTTAACAACTGACTGACCTCATCTACCTGACTTCAAAAGTTTCGATCATCCATTCCATGCATCAAATTCGTTATTCACTTGACTGTCTGATATTTCTTCATGCTTTTATTGAACCACATTGGTGGACGAGTGTTTGCGGAGACGAAGATAGCGCAGACAAAGATTTGCGGACGAAGATTTGCGGACGAAGATTTGATTGGACGAAGAAATGCGTGGACGAAAAATGCGGACGAAAATTTGCGGACGAAGATTTGCGGACGAAGATTTGCGGACGAAGATTTGCGGACGAAGATTTGCGGGGACGAAGATTTGCGTGGACGAAGAAATGCGGACGAAGATTTGCGTAGACGAAGAAATGCGTGGACGAAAAAATGCGGACGAAGATTTGCGGACGAAGATTTGCGGAGACGAAGATTTGCGGACGAAGATTTGCGCAGACGAAGGTTTGCGTGGACGAAGAAATGCGGACGAAGATTTGCGTAGACGAAGAAATGCGTGGACGAAAAAATGCTTGACGAAGAAATGCGCCGACGAAGAAATGCAGATACGAAGAAATGCGCTACGAATTTTTGCACCTACGAAGAAATGCGAGACGTAGTAATGCGACACGAATAAATGCGCCGACGAAGATTTGCGGACGAAGAAATGCGGACGAAGAATTGCGCGACGAAGAAATGCCATACGAAGATTTGTCCGGTTACGCTGATATTAGCACTTTCATAATATAATTGGTGATGTAAATTGAAGTATTGCTGATCAAGTATTATGTACCAGTGAATAGTGAGTGCCCATGATAAGTTTTATGTCTGAGTTTTTTCCTTCTTAAATTAAAATGATGGTTTGGATGTCTGTTTAAACCCTGAAGTCTTGTCACCAGTCACATGTTTCCTTTGGAGGTGCCTATTGCTATGGATGGTAAATGTAAGCCTACCCAAGATTCCTATGAGCCTAC